ACGAAACTGACGCAGCACGTGGCGAACGCGGCGCGTCAGCTGAGTGGCCAGCTGCGCGCCGACGGCGAGTGCGCAGGCGCGGAGGGGGCTAATCAGCGCCACCTGGTGGAGCTCGCCTGCCGCCTGGCCCCGGCGCTGCTCAAACTGGCTGGCGCTGAGGAGGAGGAACTGTCTCCGACCTGCCTGGAGGCGCTCGCTGATCTCCTGGAGGCGTTCAAACACCACTTCCCGGCGCGGATGCCGACCCTGCTCGAGGAGACAGCTGTGGACGGTGCGGGAGGTCTGCTGACGCGTTGTCGTCTCCTGTTGTCTGCCGGCTGCGCGGCGCGCGGTGTCGCTCCCCTGCTGCGGCTCCTGCTGCTGGCGGCCGGCGAGGCGTCCACAGAGGAGCAGGCGGATTTACTGAGCTGGAGCCAGCAGCAGCTGCGCCAGCCGCCGGCGGACGGCCACGCTTTGTGCCGTCAGCTAGTCGAGCTCGGTCTGTCCCTCGCCGACCGACTGTCCCCACAGTCCGGTGTGGCCCGCCAGGTGGCTCGCGCCGTCCACGAGCAGCTCGGTGACCTGGACGAGAGCGTCCAGCTGATTGCGGCCGACCCGCCACTGGGTGCTGTGACCGAGCGCAGTGCGGCCGGCTGCCTGCTGGCGCTCTGCTCCCGGCTGACCGGCTGGCTGGAGGCGGTGGACTGGTTGCTGGCGGGCTGCCGCGCGGCCGCCGGCGCCACGCTGGACGAACAGCAGGCCAAGCAGGAGGCGGCAGTGTGCAGCAGGGTGCTGGCTCTGGTCGCTGTACTAGACGAGCTAGCGCAGTCGGCGGCGCCGCTCGGACCCGACACTGACGCCGTGCTCAAACTGCTCGGTAGGACGTACGTCAGCCTGGCGGCGCTGGTCAAGTACTACGCGGCTCGCAACAAGCACACCAAACTCACCAAGGCCACCGTGTGCGGAAAGTAAGTTGGATGGGAAGGTTTCCTTATAAGTGTGTGTTTTGGGTGATACGATGACGAGGTGTCGTTGAACTTAATGTCATTATGGTTGGGTTTCATAGCTCCAATTCACTTACTCATAATATTCGTTGAAGTAGAATTAAAATGAACAGTATGTAGAGCTGCAGCATGCCACTGGATCCTTATAACTATTTAGTCCTCTATCATATTTTTCGTTTTTGATTGTTGGCAATGGTCATTGCTTCTTGTTTTAGTCAGTAGCTTCTTCGTCAGGCACTGACTAAGAACTAGCCAATTGATGCGAAGGTTGCATATTTATTTGCATTTATAAATTGATGTAGTGTAGCGCTACTTCGAAAGTCAGTCATCCCCCGTCATCCCCCACTTATCAAACTGCCGATAACCAAGCAGCCATTGGACGTAACACCGTCGTGACCGTGCCTCACGCACCCTTCCCCGATTTCTGCAGGTTCGAGCGGGTGCTGGAGGCGTGCGGCCGCTCCCTGACTCCACATGTGTACGTCTTCATCACGTTCACCGAGTCACAGCAGCGGCAGCAGCGGCAGGGTAAAGCTGACCCTGCAGTGAAGCGCGCGCGAGTGCTGCGTCAGACGCGTCTCATCCCCGTGCTCGTGTGTAACATCGAGAACTTCGAGAAGCACCTGATCGCTCTCGGGAAGCGCACGAAGCTCGATCTGCACGCGGGGGTGAAGCTGAGCACCTCGCGCGACTTCCGCATCATCCAGGCCACGCTGCAGGCGGCGCTGGAGAGAGCGGGGAGCTCAGAGGAAGAGGAAGAGGAGGAGGGCGCCGAGAACAGGGACCCGCGCGGCGCCGACGCTCCGGCGGGGACGGCCAGCCAGCTGGCCAGGTCGCAGTTGTCCCAGGGCGTGGTGAGGCTGACTCGGCCGTCACAGAAGCCCTCGAAGCTGTCCAGATCGCAGAAGTTGTCGCAGCCGGCCGCCAAACGCGCTAAGGTGGAGAAGTGATATAATGATCGACCGGTATGACTTGTGATGATGGAGTTCGAACGTTGAAGCTAACGTGTTGCATCGTTGTACATAGTGGAGGGCATGCTTGATGTGCCACAAACATTACGCTGTAAAAGTGTATGAGATTACAGCTGTGCCCTGTCCAGAATGAAATACATTTGTACTTTATTATTTCATTTTTGTTGTATCGGTACTATGCGATGCCACCGAGGATCTGTCCCACGTGAGGCACTCGCGACTGACTTCGATTTTGCACTAGGCCACCAGCCATTAATTCTGGGTATCGATGTCGAAAATACCGGCTTTTATTTACTGCGTCCCATTAAGGAAATATTATGCCAGTATTGTTAAGTTTTCTCGTGAAATGCAGCCAGGTAATAATAAAATATTTTGACTATTTTCAATCCTGTTTATGACTAACTTTAGTTGGCAATCTGAAACCGGAATAATTGCACGATACGATTCCTGATCACCGTACTTTAATGTACTGGTAATCTGGAACATTACCTCTCTTTCTGTCATTCAATACGATGCCAACTTTCCGTGGTTAGGTACGTAGGCCAATTCTAACCCGTTCTGCATAATATGATAAGAATACTTTTGTCCGTTCTTTGTATAGGTAGGTCCTTTGCAGCAATAGTTGATGGCTGTACGGCAGTTCATGCTACGAATTGTTGAATTACATTTGTTTCCAATCGCCCTATTTTATGCGTTCCATCCAATGCCGTAGACAAAAAGCTATACAAAAAGCACAAAATGTAGTTGCTAAGTGCATTGAAACCTTCACAAACAAGGATACAGTGGTATTACAGACGACTAACGACTTAATTACTCTATTATGCTAAGCAATTGTGCGAACGAGCATAACAGATCTTGCAGACATGCTTAGAACATTGCCTTCCTTATCGCTCCATAGATGGCAGCACCATTTGCGCCTGATTTGATACTATCCCGCCGAGCACCACGGTAGGCTGTACCGGTGAGCATTTGGGTACGACGGAACAGCATCATTCCAGGCGGCGACGCTGCCGACATCTAGCGAGAAATAGTGTAGTTTGAGTGGGCAAGTAGTCGTTTTCGGTCTCGAACTCGCGTTACCCTTTGCGATGTGCTTCATATCACGTGACCACAAGACATCTGAAAACCACGGCATTGGCAAGTAAATGGCTTGTAGCGTAAATACAGCTTTATTTTCAAGTAATAGGGGAAGGTGGGGTAAGACGGACCAGCTAAGGTTTGAGGCCGCATATCTTTCTACACTGCTCTCGTAACTCATATTGTTTATAGTCTTCTGAATGCTCAATCCTTCCTCTTTTGATGTGTGCAAAGACTGAATTGCAAAATAAAGACATCTAGGTGGTGGATGCTCTTAAAGATGGACATGTCAAAAACTCAGACAAGAAAAAACGCGGGGTAAGACGGACCACCCAGAAGTGCCTGCTATCCATTCATGCTTGGTACAGTTCTAATCTGTACTCGAGTAAGTAGAGTGGTAAAATAACAAAATGAACCTTTATTCTATGCTCATATGTTATGGAAGTGCAACTAAAAGCTGGGAACATGTGTGTTGATTGTCGTTTGGCATGAATGCATGCTAGCTAGCATTTGCAATGGTCCATGTGCAACAAAGGCTCCTTCCTGAAAAATTGGCTTACTTAAACTTGTGTCAATGCTTTAGAAAAGAATTTTCCATATGATGGGTACAATGGACCACCACAGGGTAAGATGGACCACAGTGGTCCGTCTTGCCCCAAATCTAAATCCTGTCATTATCATGACGTGTATGTCAAATAGCCCAACATTGCGAAACCTTGCCTGTTCTAAAGTGTGACTATAACCAAGTTTATAATTTTGTTCTTCACCGTAAAGTGGAAAATAGAAACTAATCATGCAATAAAGGCGCCGAAATTGAATCACCCGTAGACCTCTTATATTAGATCGGTTTGACGAAAAACAACATTTTTCTCAATAACTCAAAAGCTATGCATCCTAGCCTCATGAGCTCAAGGTGGCCATTGTTACGAAGGGAAACAAAGGTAGTGAGTGCATAAAGCAGTAGATAACAGCAGCGGTTCAGCCGGGAGGGCTGTTGGTCCGTCTTGCCCCGCTGGGCCGTCTTACCCCACCTTCCCCTACCTCCCCAGGCAAGTATCAGGCGATATTTTGCCACCTTTCGAATGATCGTGTCATTCCATGCGAGCTTTTATGACAGCTGACTCAAAAGGCATGGCAACAAGTAATTGTGCTTGACAGTCTTTCTTCGGTTAGCCCCTGATGCACGTTACCCAGCACGTGACCCTCCCTCACTAACATTACCCTTGTTTCGTTATAGATGTTAGCCACGTTACATTTCACATGCAGGCCGTTTCCATCGAAATATTGTCCACATGCGGTTGATTCCGATCAGTAGTGTGGTTAATGGCTATCTTTGTTTATTCTTACGATTATTTATAAGTGAATATAAAGGTATTTATGAACCCCCAAAGACATAAATAACTACCAGGTGCAAAATCAAAATGTTTTTTAAGCTTTATACGGCAGAGTAATAGAAGCGTCAGAAAAAAAAAACAGATAGGCACACTACTGCGTAATTATCAGATTCTCTAGCTGAACAGCCCAAAGTGCTGGATAAACACAAAAGCATTGTCCCAAGAGATGACCTAGATCAGATCTGCAATCGATGACCCCGATATTTTACGGCTGCACCGCGACCCTGACCTTCCCTCCTCCCATCCCCCAAGCGCTCGAACCCCGAATGCGGCTCTTCAACGCGCACCTTCTATGATTTCCCAACCGCTCTTCTTTTCACTAGCCTCAAACATACCGTACTCTGCGCCCCCCCCCCACACATCCCTCCACATACGTCAAACTACGCATTCCACGAAGGCCGTTCACGCCCGGTGACCATGCGCACCCCTCCCCCTGTGGCGACAATTGGGGTCAGCGTATGACGTCATCGTCCAATACGCCGCGCCTGCCCAGTGTTACCAACAACACTTGGTAGTGTTGACTAGCAACGCCACCCCCCTATGGATTGGTCCGGTCCGGCGGCCGGCGGCCGGTCAGTCGTTAGCGGGGGTTCGGCTCGCGCCCAGGTAGCTATACTGGGGCTCTGCAGAACAGTGGGAGTTAGGAGTCGTGACATTCAACAGTGCATATACCTTTAGGGACTGGTAGGAAGGCTTAGTTTGCACTGAACGTTGTAAAGTCTGAAAATCTAGTTGGTGAGTGATCGTTAATAAAACATATTGCATACTCAAGACTGTTGTAGCAGGTGGACGATATATCTTTTTAGATAATTCGCATACAGTATCCCAGTCATGGCGATCACGAAGGCGACTCGCCGGCCCTCTCAGAATCAGAGCCCCCGCACCAAGGGCAAGGGCAAGGGCAGTAACACAAGCAGCGGCAGCAGCGGAGGAAACCTCTACACACACTCCAGTCCGCCCAAAGGTGAGTCGCCTAATTACTTTGTGGAATGAAATTTATCAGCGCGTTTGTGACTATGATTTTGATGTAGTAAACCATGTTCCTCGGTGAATTGGTAAGTGTATTTTAAATGGTACAGTACGACTGACGGCTTGCTGCCGGGCCTAGCTTTTTCCGCTTTGCGAAAATATTTTGTGTCGTATAATTAGAAAACAATACCTGCATTTAAATTGAAAGACTTGATCAGCCAGTTCCTACTGTCAGTGTGACTTCAGTGTAGCTAGAGTGCACTTCACATGAAAACACAAAACTCTGGTATCTGACATAGGTTTACTTTCTGGGCGCTTGTTGCTTGGTTGGTCAACACATAAGTCATACCAGCACAGGCAAGCATGTCTATGTCTTGTCTCAGTGTATTATTCTTAGAAAGCTCGAGAGTATAACGGACCGTCTCGTCTTTTCGTACTCAAAAGCTGGAGATGGAGTTCATTCCGATCTTGATGTCTACTGAACTGATTCAAGAAGTGCCCTTTGTTCTAACCGTACGAATCAAGACGACTGTCTATAAACAGATAAGACAATGGTCTTGCTACTATGTATATATGGTGTTGACACTATCATGTTAACTGTCCACCAGGTTAACACTACCAGGTTAACGTTAACCCTCGCACGACCAGGCCATTTCTCATAACACGAACGACCAGGGGGGGGGGTTGTTACGACCCCCCCTGGCGTTTCGAAACGGAAGGTCGTAGAGCTTAGCGGAAAAATTCAACGGATTGCTCTCAACGAGATCTCGCGATTGGTGGTATATTTTTTGGTCATAGGTCAACATTTGACCTACTTATGACCGGTCAAAGGTCAAATTTTCCGAAAAATCGAACTTTTTCAACTTTCCGCGGCGATTGCGGCAAAACGGTGGGAGATATCGACTTGAAACCTTCGCTATCGTGTTCCATGATCAATTCTCTATCGTTTGGTATGTATTTCGTTTCCCTAGCTCTAAAAATGGCGCGTTGGGAGCGCCGGAAGTCGGCAAGGTCACAGTCGGCGGCAGAAATTCGAAAAATCAAAATTTAAATTTTTGAAATCTGATTGTATTTTTGGATTTGGGAGGTCCATTTGCTCCCTATAGAAGCTAATATTGCTGCATATTCCCATTGAGGTGACAAGAATTAGCAAAATAGTGGTTCGGGCGCTTTTCAAAAATAGTACCGGACGCTGTTCCTCTTGTGACGTCATAGCTCTGTGACCTGACCTGACCCGGTCAATTTTCTTGCACCACACGATAGCCAATGCTTGCCCCAACATGCATGGGAAGTTTCATCATGATCCATCAAACAATGTGGGTATCACCGGCAGAAAACCTAGGGATTCGGCGCACACGTTTGGTAACTGTCGGCCGGAGGCTGTACCTCTTATGACGTCATAACTCCGTGACCTGACATGACCCGATCTTTTTTTTCGGCAAAAGATGCGCAAAGGCTGCCCCAGAGGGTATTGAAAATTTCAGCCCGCTACGACAAGCCGTTTAGCGTGCACTTCGAAAAAACCTCAGGGGGGGTTGATACAACCCCCCCCCCCCTAGGCGTTCTAGGGTTAAGACACTTGAGATCACAACTTATTCGAGCAGCATAGACCTAGTGGCGGATCCGGGGGGGGGGGGGGGTCAAATGCCTCTTTCACAGAGCCTGAAATCGATGAAATTTTGCTGTTTTTTATAGAATAGAAATAAAACTAAACTGCATTTGCTTTAAACTGCACGACAGCGCATAAAAAATCGAAACCCAAGGAATCTTTTTGTAATTTCGAGAAAATTAATTTTTCGGGGCTAGCCCCCCCCCTCTACCCCCGCAGCGTCCAATGCCATCTTTCTGTGTCCACATTTGCAGACACTCGGCAGAATCCAATCTTGTAGCTAACCTTATATCAATATCATAGTTTGACTATGCCGTCGATATTAGGTGGTAAAGATGAGCATAAAGCATCACAGACTGAGATAATTATAAGAGCTAAATGACTTCAGCCACGGATGAAATAAAGGGCCTCTGAATACGAGTGTTTTCTTTTCTTTTCTTGTTTTGAGGTCGTAGACGACATTTTGCAATAAATGCGATTAAAATATCATTGTATGGTTGGATGATATACCATGGATGATATAACACATCTCATTATTATCTCATATTATTATCTCATCCATGGATATACCTACAAATGCTATTTCACGAAAATCAAAATAAAATGTTTAAAAATATGAAATACAGTGACATGTGTTTTTTTTTTTTTGTCGCTTGCCTGGCGAGGTCCAAATGTTTGATGAACCTATAAGTCGATGCAAACTGCTAAAAACACCATCTGCATGGAGACGACCCATTCAGGAAATTTGAAATGCAATATGCGTGCTCATTGATCTCATGCCTAAATTATTGTTTGCGCACCGAACGGTAATGTGGTTCAACCATGCATATCGAACATCAACAAAAATTCTATAGTGCGAACTGACAAACATGTCAAACTGTCAAACATGTGCACCATAATGTCATGTTATTGACATGCAGGCCTACCAAAACTAACCACGGAAACATAAGTCTTGCGATCTTCCAGCAGCAGAATGCTAAGAAAGGAAAACACACAGGGCACAGTCAACGGCAGGAAAGTGGGATTGTGGGCTAGGGACTGGAAAGCGCGTTCAATATTATTAGGCTCGATCAAGTACTGCTAATTGAATATTGCCGAGCTCCAGCAAGCGCTATGTTTATTTCTATGTTTATGAATTATGGTTATGTTTATGTAATGCACTTATGACTGCTCACGGGACGACTGGGTACTTATTGCACCGAAAACGCCGTTGAAACGGAACAAGCAACCAACCAACCAACCAACCAACAAAGCAACAATTAACAAACGGTGTCATATTTACGCACCAACCTTAGTACTGCTGAGTGAACACATTATCTGACATCCATCTCAAGCTCCTCGTCTCCGTTTTCCAGTGCTGCCGATGAACTCCTCCAACATCCGCCAGTGGCTGAAGGCAGGGGACCTGGAGAAGCTGGAGGACGTCATTATCGACGGACAGGGTCAGAAGCTGCTCAAGGAGTCGTCGGCAGACGACAAGACCAGGGCGTTCCTTCGATCGGTGCCCGACAGAATTGTGAGTTATCATCGTTTGAATTCATTAGTGTGTATTGAAATTTAAAAGCATGCGTGAGCTGTGGAGTATGGAAATATCGCGTTGATTACATAGGGCGTCTTTTTAATGTGTCGGGTCGATTGCATTTGGCTATTCAGATACTAAAAAAAACTTGATTAGACGTAATAACGCAGGCAAACGTGTGAATATGATGCAAGTTTACCTTAGGCTAAACCGATTTCTTGATGCTTGAAATAACTAATCTCAGCGCTTGAAATTGCACCGGCATTTTCTTTTAAATGCTTTGGGCTAGAAATTATTAAGAAAATGTTGTCGATCTTGACATACATGAAGTATTTGATGTTTAGGAGAGTAGGAAACTATCATAGAACTTCATTGAAAAACTTGTACTTACCAGATCGATTACTAGAACGTAATCGATCTACAATCCTCTCTATTCAGACAAATGCTTGGAGCCTCTCATAGCTCCCTGCAATAATACCAAGCGGCCATTGTCATCGCTTTTGTCGGCGAGCTCCGTTCGTGACGGGCTGAGCGGCGGGGCTCACGCGAGCTCCCCGATACCGTCCTTGTTGCGTGCAGGCACCCACGAGGTCGGTCCGGCGCCGGGGACAGGCAAACATGTCCACACGGGCCGAGTAGTGTCCACACTGACTCTGAAAAGGTCGCCTTCTGGGGACTGACGAAATCCTCATTAGCGGAGCTGATGGATTATGATGGCGAGGAGGTGTGGCGAAGCCGTGGCTGCGTGCATAAAATATAATCTGTTTGACATGTTTGCCGCGATATTATCAGGAATATTGAGTGTGATGGCAAGTAGGCGCATGGTATGACCAAAATAAGGTCATCCAAGGTCGTACAAAACAAATAGCTCGGTTACAAAATGACTGTTGTGACTTCAAAATACGACCAGTTGCGTGACGCAAAATCTCCAGTCGTATCGATCGAAGAACTGCGTGATCCTTTCAGTTTCACTTCACTTTCACCTTGAAAACAATCAGAGAAAAACAAAACTATAAAAACAATAACGTTTTCCATCATATCTAACCTTGTGGGACCCTCGACTAGAGCACACAGAAATGCGCTGAATGATCCAATGCTCGAAATAATATATTTACAGCCAGTGGCGCTCTCTGGGTGAACTGGGATGTGCAAAAACAATTTTATGGAATATTTAAGAAGCATAAGAATAAGAACTTAACAAATTAGTTGGACGAAATTGTTACCGTTCTTTCTATCATTTTAGTGCCTATCATATTCTACCACATCTCTCCGGGTCACTCATCTGACCCAACTGACTCTCTCCCTCTTTCTCTCTCTCTCTCTCTCTCTCTTTCTCTCTCTCTCTCTGTCTCTCTGTCTCTCTCTCTCTCTCTCTCTCTCTCTCTCTCTCTCTCTCTCTCTCTCTCTCTCTCTCTCTCTCTCTCTCTCTCTCTCTCTCTCTCTCTCTCTCTCTCTCTCTCTCTCTCTCTCCAGTCCAAGATGGACGCCATTCACAAGGTGGTGGAGGAGGGTGACCTGCGTCAGACCAAGAACCTGCTGGACCGCCGCAAATACGCCATGTCGCGAGACAAGAACGGTGTCAGCCTGCTGCATAAAGCTGTGATGAACGGACGAACAGAGGTCGCCGAGTACCTCGCCTCCAACTACCCGGAGATCCTCAACCTCACGGACGCCGTAAGTAAACAGAACTAGTTGTGTGTGACTTATGTGTGAGGCAACGTGAGCGTTGCCAAACTTTTTGACCTGTAAATCTAAACATTGCGTTTTGTGATAAATGCATGAAATAATATGAGTGTTTGTGAATCGAGCATGTATTAAACCGTTCGCAGGGGTGTAACATAGCCAACATACATTTAATGCTTACAACATGATGGGTGCAAGGGGCTTATCAAATTGAAAGGCCAGCTTCTCGAAACACTTGGGGGTCAATGCCTCGTTCTCGGTAAGCCAATTACTGGTTAACATGGCAATCATGATCATAAAGCGCCACAGTCTCTGAAAGCGACATTACATACTTGATCAAAGGAAACATGTTCCATAAGGTCTAAGACGATTATCTCTACAGACATGACACGATGACATTGGGAACATCTTCCTGGCAATGTCAGCTATCGCGCGGTGCGTGCATGATAAGACCCAAACACCATGTTGAACACTTGAAATCACCACGGCATAACATATTCTGGAAGTCAAACGCACGGGGTGCAGACTAAGCCATCGATTCACCCTAAACAAACAGAGAATGAGCCCCACCCCACTCATCACCGGCCATTCCGGCCTTGCGTCGCTCCCGACGTCTGTCGGCAGGGAGCCGGCCGCGACGCCGAGCGCCACAGCCGTCGTCGGGTCGTCGATTTCGACGTGACGACCGCTGACAGTGCGTTCGTCCGCCGACAGGAGACGGCTGTGGTCACTCTGCGTCGCAGCCGGCGGCCCGAGAGGCAGATGGCCGCCTACCAGAGACACCTGCTGCGCATGCAGAAACGACGCAGCAGCGTGGCGGCCGCCGGCGTGGAAGCTGCTGCCGCAGCCGTCGCTGCTGCCAATGCTGAGGGTGGTCCTGATGGTGCGGTTGGAGGAGAGGGTGCCACGGGGACGATTACACCTCAGACACCGGCGGTGCACAAGCAGCCCGGTCATAATGCTCGTCCGAAGGTGGTATCACACTGGGTGAAAATGCCGGGAGAGGAGGAGAAGGCGGGAGAAGAGAAGGCAGACAAAGACAAGAAAGAAGAGGGAGGGAAGAAGGAGAAGAGAAAAGGAACCGCAAAACGGGTACCCACAAGCAAGGGCAAAAAAGGTGACGCTTCGAAGAATGAAAATGAGAACAGTAAAGAAAAGAAAAAGAAAAAGAAGCCAAAGAAGAAAGTCAGAATGAGTGACGACGCTCCTGAAGTTGTGAACGCTGAGAAGACCCCAGCCTCCAAGTCCAAGTGGGCCGGCATCCACGCGGCTCTGCGGCTCTGGCACCGGGAGCCGGTGCCGCAGGACCAGCTGGAGTCTGTGCCCGTCTCCGGGCCGGGCGGCGAGGAGCGCCACGTCACTCTGCGCCGGCCACCTCCACTCACAGTGGCCTTCGAGGGCCTGCCGAAGGACGCCGAGCTGCCGTCCAAGACAGCGGCCAGGGCGGACGAGTGGCGGGCGCTGGCGCACGCCTCGGCCGTGGGGCCGGCGCAGTCTGCCCAGCTGGTGGCCTCTCTGCTGTCCGAAGTGGTGGACGAGGAGTCGGCCGAGATCCTGCAGGACGAGCTGACGGACGAGCTCGCCAGGAGGCTGGTGGAGAGGGTGCTGGACAGGGCGCAGCTGGTCGCCTACAACCGATACGAACACGCCGAGGCGGTCAAACATATCTTTCTCAGTAACATGGGGAACATTGTGCCGGTCGAGCAGAAGAAGTAAACAAGCGAAAGTGAATGCGCCTATAAGACGTCAGCGCTTGGAGAATGGCGCCAACGGCGCATGTTATCCACAAACAGCCGGTCAGTTGGACCGCCTTTCAATGCATATTATATATTTATGGAACAGCCATTGCGTCATAAGAGCTTACACGAAGGTGTGGAACTGAGAAAACCTCATTTAGGACACATAACATATTTGGATTTGTTTAGAATCTCAAATCCGAATAGTTATATTGATAGATGTCCTATTCTAAACTGAGCTCGTTATGGTCCGTCGAGGTTGAGACAGCATTTATCGATACATATTTGCAAACTCCGTCCGATATACCTGTATATTTCCATACAGACGAACCTGAGGAAAGATTATTTTCAAATAAGTGAGCAAATATTATTGCACATTGATACCAATGCTAGGGCAGCTAGATGTTACATGGAGTCCCTCGATGAAAGCTTTATGAGGTCGTGCATTAAAAGACACATGCAGGCAAGTGTGAAAGTATGTGATCTTTGTATTGCTGATTAGCCGATTGCTTGCTTGCATCTCTATTTATTCCGAGACATTCATTACCACCAAATGCTTGCTTAAATGCTTATTTTTGCTCGCTGTTGGTGAAAAATAGACTCTATAGGCTTTTTCTAAAAGAAGCGTCGAGTTAGCTTACACGAGGACATCGTTTACTCGTTAACACAGGGTATGCTTTAGCAAGACACTTAAAGGGACTATCCCACCTTTAACATGGGGTTTGAGTTGAGATAGCCAAGTTTGCGGCGAGGTTCAGAAACCACTATCTATCTAGGTTGCAACCCCCGCGGCCTCTTGGTGTTGAAGAAATTCGTTCCCTTCATTTGAAAATGGGCCTTGTACAAGGCCCTATCTTCAACATGGAGCGACCGTTAGTGTGACGTCACCTCGTTTAGTCATTCTGATTTAAATGGGTTTGTTCGTTGAAAAATCGCTTAAAACTTGGTCTGAACTTTGTTGTGGTGCCTACAGAGTAAAAAGAATCAGCTTTATGACAGTAATGTGGCCTGGGGAAGGAGGTAATTTTGGGCTGTGACGTCACATATTTGAAAGTTTGTGTTTGGAATATGGGAAGCCTAAGATGTTTAATGAAAAATAAATGCCAGAACCGTGTTCCTGGTCATCCAATCTATAAAGTCGGGCACAATCTAACTGGTTTTAACAACATTTTAGAAGGTGGGATAGTCCCTTTAATCGATTGTACAGGCTAGTAAGGTGTACAAAATAATGCATGTGAATTGCGTTTATAAATAAGCTGTTCATCGTTTTCTTTTGAGTTTCATACTTTATCGTAGATGCTTGTATTCCCTGTTGAGAATTGTATATCGTAAGAGGCTTAAGCCGTGTGATGTTTTAGACTATCCGCTTGCTTACTATACTTGCATATGTCTGTCCAGTGCCTTAGTGGGTATGTGTGTATGTGTGCGCTTTGTGTCTTATTCTATAGCTGTGTATATTAAAAAGTTCAGTTTTGATAATAACTACCTGCTTATATTGGGCATATAAGGTAAAGCCTGTGATTATTGACAATAAACACCGTACTTACCTACTCTGCTTGCACTATTCAACTGAGAAAATCACTCAACATCAAACATAAATGATACAAAGGCTTAGCCCATAAAATACACACCTACGCTGATAAATCTGTTATATATTTTTTCTATTCAATCTTACGTTTTGCGCAAAACACAACCAGGAGTGCGATTCATCGCTTTCGCATCGCTTCACGTCATTTTTGCCCTGCCCCCGTCCTACCCTATATCGTTCGGCATGGGGGTGGATACCGGTCAACGAACGCACGTGTTTACCTGACGACGCCATCGGCACCGACGGAACGTCACGCGTCGACACCGTCAGGCTCGACGACACCGGGCGGGCGACACACTTTGGCCGGCTGCCATGGAAACCATTCAACAGTGAACAATGCGCACCCGGCGCTCGCCGCCGCACCGCTATAAGAACCGACAAGTTTCCAGACGGACGGACAATTGTCGTCCGTTCTGGCTTCAAGGGCAGGCGTTATATTATCGAGGCCGATATTGCACCTATGCTATGGTGCAGAATAGCGTCGCACATTTTTTTCTTTTCTCTATAAAGCCATCAGAAATTACGATAAGCAGCTTGGATCGAAAACTTATTCATTTTACCAAGTATATCTGTATAGTTTTCACCTTTTTCACATCAAATGGCTGTAGATTGTAGACGCTCTGCAGGCTTTATGTCAGCAGCAACAGAAATAGCGACTAGGACCAGCCTTCAATGATATTTAAAGGGACATAGTGTTTGAGGTCATATGAAACATTAATTCTACATTAGGGCTGCAGCAGGGTGTAGAATGAGCGATTCATTCGAATATGATATCGCATTTACGGAAACTCTGCAAAATGTTTCCGCCATCAATAGGTACCAAGGACTTCACAAATGCTGCAACGTGTTTTCGTGCAGCTTGCGGCGTCGTTCTACGTAAAGCCAGATAACGTCTACCGATTCATTTTGCGATAAGTGGGTGCAAAACACAGACATGTAAGGATAAAACAACGGTTAATTGTCGCATTTCAAAAGCTTATTGTGACGAAATTCGTCAATAGAATTGCAGTTTGTTATGTGACTTAGATGAGCACTGAGTTGTGCCTTTTATTTAACCCTCGCGGGCCCGGGGGGCGTTTTTCGCCCCCCCCCCCCTGGCGAATATTTGCGATAGCTCCCGAACGCTTAGGGATAGGAAGGAGAAACTTTCAGGACCTTTTTTCCCATCAATTTGACATCTTCTGAAGTAAAAAATTTGGACCTAGCCCCCTTGATAACGTCACAAGGTCCATTTTTCTAGACCCCTGCACGGCAAACTTCGGCGTCACAGACGCAAACTTCAAATAGCTGCTAAAAATAGAGTTTTAGAGATAAAGACAAATTACGAGCACGGTTGCGTTGCGTTTGACCTAGAGAAAAATAGGAAAACAGTTTTAGTGACCTGAGGTCAGAGGTCAGGTCAACGACCCCGAAATGTGGTTTTAGTTTTTCGCAAATAACTTCGACAAAAATGGTCCTAGAGCTACGGCAGTGGTACCATCGCATTCGCCTTGTCAGGCCGCGTCGAATGATATATATTTTGTTTGGAAAAGGTCAAATTTTATGTTGACCTCAAGTGACCTCGAATGACCACTGGTTGACCTTGACACATGAAAGGTCGTATATGATGGATTTGTATCCGCTGATCACGAATCTGGCATCTATTTTCCTCTAAGCCTTCATTTAGAGCTTCCGGATTGCAAAATTGTCTTATTTATTATTACTAACTTGAATCAGTGAAATAGCCTCTAGCAGGGATACTCTTCTGTGACCTTGACCTTTGAGCAACCTTGTATCGTAGGATGAACCACAAATAGGGAACTGATAAGCCTCAAAACATTTCAAAACATCTTGGAAGTTAGCACGCAAAATATGCGAAAAGTGCCAAGTTTGAGGTCAATTTTGAGCGTGACCTTGACCTTGACCTTTCACTTTGAGCACATTTTCAGAATCCTCAGATTCTCTTCTTTCGTTTGACAGCCAATTTTGCCGGTTTGATGCAGCCTGCCGTCCTCTAGAAGGCTTACTTTGAAATCACTACACATGTGGCGGTTTTTGCCTTTGACCTTGACCTCTGACCTTGAAAATTGACCTGAGGTCAAAAATTTTAGGTGCATTAGAATCGTCTCGTAAGGACCTTTCGTTTGGTATCGCTTTTGTTTCCGTAGCTCCCTTATTTACGGAGTTAGACAGGGGGGGGGGCGAAAAATGCCCCCCCGGGCTGCGGTGGTTGGGATTACCCCCGGGCCCGGCCGGGCTAAAAAGAAAACTAGATTGTAATTGAAACATATCGTTACCAATAGCCATGAATGAATAAGATAGGTGTTTTGAGAAAAATGCATTACGGTTAGTTTAATAAAAACATTTAAGAATAAGTCAAATTTTCAACGAAAGTTGCTGTTGCTTGAATATTTCTTCTTCTTATCCTTTTCAGTTCGGGCATTTGAAATATTTGCCGAAAAATATTGAATTATAGAAAAATAGAATAATGCTTTTCAAACGCATTTATACACAGCACAGCAGAGTCGAGGGCTGTTTTCCCATGGCTCGTGCTCACGTGCAGTACTGGCCCGACCCTCCAGCAGTCAGCGGATTCCACGAAGAGACCCTATTGATCCGTGGTCAGTGACCCGTACAAAAGCAATGCATATCCAACGCATGGAGAGCAGTACCGGTCTGTAACCCAATATTGGCAAAGTGGGATTGTTTTATGTTACCTTAAGTAGCTTTACGTTTTCAATGTTTTACGTTTTTCAATGATAGTTTTCGCAGGATGATCAGAAGTTGTGTGCGGGAGCTGCCTTTAAAGGAAAGTCGTGAATCGGTCGTTTCATCAAACTGAGAGAGTGTTACTAAAATAAAATAAAAACTCATCCCCACAAGAGTTAAATTTTGTAGGAGCACTCACCAAAGCACGCACTAAACACGCTTGTGCTTATTCTACACTAAACCCGTGTCAGTAAGGTAAAACACACTGAGCTAAAACGATTATCAAGAAATTCCTCAAACACCGCTGCAATGTTGTAAACAGTAGGGCAACAGCAATACACATAATGGAGACACAAACACAATCAGCCTTTCCAGCAACCCGTTTTCACGTCCATGTGGATAATCGCTTGCAGGGATACCCAATAGCGGGCGAAAATGGCCCTAACGATTTAGCCTCGTTGACCTTGGATCGTCGGCTAGCGTGCTTATGGACCCGGCCCACATAACTATCGCCCTGGTGGCGATTAGTAATGGCTAGCGATAGCGATGGTGATGATCGGAAAACCTGGGCCGTAACTGAAAACGGCAGTTAAACCGTCGTTAATTGCACAAATGAGGCGTTTCGGATGGATGGATGTCAAGCTAATGACTATGCGACTTCGGATTCTGAATTTGCCTTTTCCGATAACATAAAGTGATGAAGTGTTGTCACTGATGCTACAGTTTTGGATAACAACAACAAAAATGCTAGCAACTCCTACATAATGTATGTTCCATATGGTCCATATGTCCACTCCACGATTCCACATCTATTTGTATCTTCACTGTCATGTAATCTAGTCTGAAGCCTGACCTGTGCAGTGACCTGACCTCTCACTTGATCACACATGTCACCTAAACTGTGACCTCACCTATCACTCGATACCTGATCTGACTCCTGACACGCTCACCCTGACCTGACGTCTGACCTGACCCCTGATCCGACCCTTGACCAGACCCCTGATCTGACCCCTGACCCGAACCCTGACCTGACTTCTGACTCGACCCTTGACCCGACCCTGACCTGACCCCTGACCAGACCCCTGACCTGACCCCTGACCTGCAGGACGGTCGGACGGCCCTCCACCTCAGTGCCGCCTCCTCCGACCCTCGAGGCACCTACGACGCACTAGTGCGGGCCGGCGCGGACGAAAAGACTCGTGACAAGCGTGGCAGGCCAGCCCAGTACTATCTGGATCATCCGGATGACTTGGCTCTGCCCACCAAGGCTGAGCCGACCAGCAGGAATCGGCAGCGACAGAGGAGGACGCCGCCTAAAGACCATGTACGAGGGCGAAAACCTCGAGACAATGGTGCAGCTGCTTCTAATGGGGGTGGTAAGTCCAGACTCATTATCAATGAAAAGATAGGCAGCTCCCTGCCACCTTGCCAGTGATAATGCGTGGCGTATTTTTTACTAGAGATGACATATAAGTTGCGGCATTATCTTGAATGCAAACACTTAGGCCTGCTGTAGCTTTTGCTGACGTATCGACCAGACTTTATTTTTCGCATATCAAAGTAGCACGACCATTACGATATCTCCAAAATCTGGGTCGATGTCTTTCGCTCATTACCTTTCCCTGTTTCGCTGGTCGCGTCATGCTCGTGGCACGCGCCACTGCGTGCGGACAAATTGGGACACGCGGCGACCCTGTTACTGAAATGTCATGGCGACTTTATCGATTTGGTATAACGTTAACGTAGCGTAGAGCGCTGCAATTTTAATGCGAACATGATATCGATTTTCACTCTGCCTTGAGTACCTTCCTACTTACAAATGGTTCACAACAGTGCGCAATATTATAGTGGAAAAGAACTTGAACCTTATTGGCGCATCTCATTTCGTAGAACTGCTACCTGATGACATTTCATGCAGTGGTACGATTAGCGGTCATGAAACTTGAAATTCATTCGAACTCAACGCCGCATAAGCCAATACTGACATCCGTCTCGCTGTAGCTGGTGGTTCTGGATCTGGACCCGTGTCCCACGCCACGATCCGGATCTGGATCCACGGCCGGGATCTGAACAAGCTGGAGCAGATGGTGCTGGACGGACATGGCGAGCGTCTGCTGAACGAAACAGCCGGATCGAACCGGGTCAACAAGTTCCTCACTTCGGTCCGACCGCTCATGGTGGGTGGGGTGGGGGGGGGATAAAGAGGAAGGAGAGAGAGTGGAGGCGTCAAGTTGTGTGGGTGGGGGAGGGGTAGGAAGGGAAGAAAAGGAGAGTGTCAATCATACATTGTGTACCGAGCGAGATCACAGACTTCGGTAATAGTGCGTACGTTCAACTACAGTCAAAATGCAGTTTATCATTTGAAATTATGTAAGCGCTAATTGGGAAATTAAAAAACATGCTTTTTTACATTTATCGTCTCGTAACGCACCTGTATCTGGATTATTACAGTTTCCTCGCACGTCTGCGTTTCAGATTCGGATCCGTGAGCTGCACTCTGCGGCGATAAACGGTGACTCGGCCAAGGTCGAGGCCATGACTGAAGGCCAGTCACGTCTGCTGACCTCCAAGGACCAGAACGGACTCACCATCCTTCACAAGGTAAGTTGCATGGGCAATTGTGCGAGCCAGCAACGGCTGAGAGGATCGGTCTCGATGGTATGATTATGCATTTGAGACTTGAGTTGATGAATGTGCTACACTGAAAACAATTTAACCCAAGGCCCGCGAGTAAACCGGTGTTTTGCAGGTACCCCTTATCCGCAACCATTTTTAACCACCCTCCCAGGAGTACAGTAAGGTCCCATTGCAGTGTATTCGTCCCTGCTCTCAGCGGACTTGTTCGCTGACAGCGGTTATATCCGCTCAGAGCAAGTACGACTACACCGCAATGGGACCTAGCACTACTCCTGGGAGGGTGGTTAAAAATGGTTGCGGATAGGGGTACCCGTAAAACACCGGTTTACTCGCCAGCCTTAGGTTAAATTGTTTTCAGTGTATAAAATAAGGTATCAATGCATTACACTTATATCATGCTCGCAGCTTGTTCGTGCATGAATTCATTCACTGCAATTGCAATATTCACTTCAAATCATTTGACAATCAAACATTAAACATAGTTATACATAGGCAAGGCCTGCCGATTAATTAACGACACTACTTGAGTCCATTATAAGCAAACAGCCTCAGCAAACGCATGTACCGCATCTCAAATTCCTCAATACTGACATGAATCCAGCCTGGCTTATTCCTGGATCCAATGGCCTTGGATCCAATAACCAACCATACCCGATGGACACCAACAGCAGCATGGTCTTTGTCCACCGCTCTAAATTTCGCTCGTGACGGACGTGACTGCTGGACGTTAAGTTCCGCTGAATGCTTGTGAGTAAAATCTCATCGACCAGACCTTAAACCGCTCGTGAATGGCATGATACTTTTACAGGCTGCCGGCCTGGGACACGAGGAGATTGTAGAAAATCTGCTTGAAGTCATGGCACCACGAGAAGCTGTGAGTGCGGCTAAGACATTAGAGCCAGAGTTTGAGTGCACTGTGTGGTAGTTCTTGCTATAGAGCATGTTTGATGAGTGCCTACGCTTCACCTGACACATCCTTTATCATTTTTTTTTTATTTGAATGATGATCCATTTTTGCTACCATTTATGGAACATTTTACACTCAAATTGCCTGAAATGTTCTTGCCTTTATCGTGCTATCGTCGTCGTCAACAAACGTCAAAACTCCAGGAGTTGATGAACTGTGCAAAATAATAACTATCACAACATGGAAAGAAATAGTTCTATTAACTGTTCTGTCGACAATAAATATTGTATCACTAAATCCTCTAAATAATTGGCTCTCTCGGCTCATTCAAGGAAGGCGAATAATTGCCCACGTGTTCACAATCTCCCCCTCCGTGTTCGACAGGCGGCGGCTCTTGGCCACCGGACGATCGTCGAAACATCCTTGGGCACCGTCCGAGATCAGAAGGACGAGCCAGACAACGACGGCTACACACCGCTCTTCTATGCGGCTGCCAGCCAGAACAAGGAGATCTACGACCTGCTGGTCAAGGCCGGCGCTGATGTCAACCGGGTCGATAAGGTCAGTGTAGTATGGGGCATGGTCAATGCAGGAAACTTATTGCACATGCCAAGTTGTGTCAAGTGTCAAGCTTGGTCATAGCTATGAATTGGTTACTTTTTAGAGTGGCTGGAATATGTTCAAAAGGAAAATAGCAACAACTTTCCTTCAGCTAAACCTTCAGGATGTTTTTTTTTTTACATTCTATATTGTAGGAGAATAGTTAAATTTACCATCGAATTATAATTTGAATATGCACGAGTAAGTCATTTTTTTCATTACACTTAGCGCTGTAGCTTCGCAAAAACGTACTGCAGTTATAGTTTTCAGCTTTCTCGCCGTCACTCCCAGCCCTGAACACCAGGCCGTCCCTGTTTCCAGCGTAAGAAGACAGCCGAGTACTACCGCGAGCACCCGAAGGAGATGCCGATGCAGCACGTCTACCAGCTACCGGACGCACCAAGAAACTCTGGCGACTCCCTGGGTGTTCCCGATGGACCGAACAGGAGGAGGTCGGTCAGCACCGACCGACACCAGGGAGGTGACGGAGGACCGGCGGCGAAGGGCAAACGGTCCACTAGTCGCCGAGAGACGGTGAGTGTTCGTGTGTATTTACTGAGGGAGATGGGAGGGCCGAGGAATGAGGATGTAACTATTTCGGGTGTCAGCATGGTCAACGGAATGCAGGAGTGACTTGTAGATGCGGTTCATCTTCCACATATATTTCGCTGGTATTCATAGCGTAGCATGGTTACTTATTGCACTCGTCTTACCAATTTGACGGTTAAAAAGCGTCATCAAAGCTACATTTCCCAAAGTCGAAATAGCATAATAAAAAAATCCGTGGTTGAATATAAATTTGCAAACGAAAATGCCAGAATAAAATGCCTTTTAAGTTTGTTATGATCGGTGTCTTTGATTCCGTTACAAATCGCTTGTGGACGATAAGTAAAGAGTTCATCGCTCTTGCTAAAAATGTTAAAACATGAAGGAAAGACGAAATCAAATGACCTCTTTGCGTGTTTTAGATATGTTGGCTCGACTTGAAAATGCACGTTTAAATGCTCCTTCTGCAATGACATCAATAACTATAACTTTATTTTACCTACATAAATCTCACAATTGTCTACTTATCCTGCTGTTGCATCGTAATTCGTAGACTTTAATGCAAGGCAAATATAAAATTAATCAGAGAGCACAATGGCACAGTATAAATACGCACCTTCAAAATGTAACCAAATTGTCGAGTTTGGCACGACATAAATATACAAAAGCACCAAAAACAGAAGTCTCGCTGCTGGAAATCTCCGTGCCCCTCTGAGGACAAATCTCGATGTAACGGTGAGTCTGGCCGACCGGGCAGGACCAGGCCTCGTCGGACGCAGCGGCGGCCGCTCAGGCGCGTCTGTCGGAGCAGGACGTCACGCCGGGTCAGGTAGACGTCTGGATCAGACAGGGTGACCTCGAGAAGCTGGAACAGGTGCTGGTCGACGGTCATGGAGACGCCCTGGAGGGCAAGACCGCCTGGAACGAGCAGGCCCGCAACATACTGAAGGTGGCGCCCACATATATGGTAAGATGGAGGGTGGAGAGAGGTTAGTGAGAGTGGGAAAAGGAGAACGAGAGAGAGAGAGAGAGAGAGAGAGAGAGAGAGAGAGAGAGAGAGAGAGAGAGAGAGAGAGAGAGAGAGAGAGAGAGAGAGAGAGAGAGAGAGAGAGAGAGAGAGAGAGAGAGAGAGAGAGAGAGAGAGAGAGAGAGAGAGAGAGAGAGAGAGAGAGAGAGAGAGAGAGAGAGAGAGAGAGAGAGAGAGAATACGAATAAGGTGATGCAGCATATCTTGTATAAATGCAGGAAAGCCCAAGATAAGGTCAGGACTAAATCATGTAAAAAAGAGTGTAATTTTCAACGTCTCTTTCAAATAAGTATGCATTAAGTGCATCTTATTGAAGCATGACTCACTTGCATACAGATAGGAAATGCATTCTAGTAAAGGCAGCTAGCATTGCATGCTAATTTTACCACTAGATATGTTTCATAATACATTATAACGCAAGTGTCCTGTGTATGGATGTCAGCGACCGCTGTGTGCTTAATACGATTGATGGCTAGTACCTATTGCAAACACATTCAAAGCCTTAATCTAATTCTGCTGAGGCAGTGGATAGCGCTTTTTACCTATGTATGTGATATCCCTCGGTATCCCTTTCAAGGTTGTGCAAAGAAATGTTAACTTTGATTTCATGAGAGTTGAGATCCTCACAAACAGATGATCAAACACAAACAAACAGATCCTCACAATTGGACACGCAGATGCTGCGTGTCCAATTGAAACAATGCATCACATCGTTTGTTCTATTGTTTAGATTAATGAAATGCACTCAATCATGCTTCAAGCGTGTACCGATGCCTGACATGTTATTTGTCATTATGATGATTTATTGCCAATAAAGTTGATACCATACGCCTTCTTTTTTTAAAACTGAGATTGATGCAGCTTTCTCCGTTTGGCTGCACCAGCCATCGCAGGAAGATACCGCGAAGATACTTGCTGCTGTGGACATCACGTGTGACGTCACACAAGCTGACGCCATCAGCCAGATGTTCGCCCAACTGGCGGCCGGCAAAAGCGCCGATGACGTCATCAGAAGCCGGGGAGGTGGAACGGCACCGGAGTCCACCGCGGCGGTCGCTACCTCTTCTACCAGTCATCAGCGCGGTTCTAGTGATAGTGTCAGCGCTTCCAATGATAAAAATGCCACTGCTGAGCTCGCAGTAAAAGGGACATCCCCTCTAGATAGCGGGGTAACTGCTAGTGACCCAGAGGTTGAGGCTCTGCTCTCTGAGGTCAGGGATCTGAGTTCTGGCATAACTGGCTTAGCCGACAATCTAAAGATGCCAGTTTCCGATGTCAGAGAAATTGTGTCCGAATTCCAACAATCTTTAACCGATTATAGGCAGTTGTTTTTGATAAAACAGGATGCGTACCACGACGAACAAACTTTTGATGATGATGAAGCATTGTCTGAAAATGAAGAAAACACTTCGGAAGAGGCATCTTCATCAGAAGAACAAGGTGATTCCGAGGATGCTATGTCAGAAGCCGAAGTTCCAGATGTCCCAAACGACCAGCATGTCGCATCTGATCCTGATTCTCCTGCTTCTCCAATGCCGCGCGAAAGCGCATCCGCATTGGATCCAGAAATCAACCTCCCTGCATACGAAGCGCTCGTGGATAGTTCTGTGGCTGCAGGCATCAATGGTGAGAATCCTGCTTCCGACCGGGACTCCTTGGTGTCGGACCCTGAATTTCCTACTTCTGCTGCTGACAAATCGTCTTTCGAGGATCAGGAACCACAAGATGGGGATGCTGTCCAGGCAACTACTGATGGTGAAAAGGAAGATGTGTCGGATGAATACTCCTCGGAGGCTGAAGATAGCGACTTTGGACTCCGCGGTTTGTTTGCTTCAAGATAGGCATGTGTCTTGTGTCGTTTGTGTTCTACTGTTCTATCCATGCTCAAATACTGTCCGTCAGTCTCCACTCTATACATATGTGTGAATTAATACTTACGTTACTTGGACGAAATGTAAATAATTGGTTGCCGCATATGGGAAAAATATGCGGGTGTTAATGCGAATGCAGAGAGCTTTCACTCCATATTCTCATCGATCAATCGTCCATTGTAGGTAACTTTCAAATATTGTGCTGGCTCGTTTGCATTTACCTAAAGAAATTGATGTCTATTTTTGTGTACATTATTATAATTATTATTATATCGTTTATTCCACTAACCATGATCATCGGGTGGGCGTTACAGTGGAACATTGCCAATTCCGACACGTCTGTTCATACGGTAAACAGTGATGGTTGGTACGTTTAACGGTACTCGTTAAAATTTATCTATAATGGGAATCATGTGAAAGAAAATGAAATATAACTAGATCAGTGTGACGAAGGCAATGTATGCCTTTTTACACGAAAACATAGCTTAGCTATTCAAGTTATGCCGGCGTGTCATAGTATCGTATTACAGAGCTTTATTATCTCAGGCAGGGCTAGCTCAAGTCAAATCTTTGATATACTCTACATGCATCGAGTATATTATCTAGCAGGAGCGAAGTAATTACTGAACGGTTCAACTATCCGCCGCTTATGTATACCGCCGCGCTGTTACCCACCATGCTGTTCCGGAGGACGCGGGTGTAGTGCGGTGCAGCCTACCTGCCGTCGTACTGCACTGGGCTCGGTATACGCGTGTGATACAGGCAGTACCAATACAATGCACGACAGTGGTCTGACCTCTTTGTTCATATACCTACCAAATGCAACACAATTAGAAAGAAATAGATGAGGAGGAAGGCCACAGGTGACACAAGTGATAAAAACACGAAGACAACAAATATAAAAAACATGTCATTACTAGTCCTTTCCCTCAACTTCCCCAACCCTATCTTCCATAAACCTACCTCTCATCTCTGTTTTCCCCTCTTTCTTTACCACCTCCGCGGCCCTGCCCCGCGCTCTCACACCCGCCTGCCGCACCTCTCAGGAGCAGATAGCGGCCATGCACAGTGCCGCCGCGCGCGGTGACGTGGCCGAAATCAAGGAGCTGTCGCGCGTCAAGGGCCCCTACTCCAAGTCGACCAAGCTAGTGCAGTCGCTGGATGAGAACGGTCGCCTGCCGCTGCACCTGGCCGCCTGGTACGGCCACACGCCGGCCATACAGTTCCTCACAGAGAGGTACCCGGCAGGCATCCACATCATCGACAAGGTAACCGGGTCGGACAGGTCTGGCGCACGGTGGGCTTATGTGCGACAGCGCAAATGTAATTCGATTTTACAGATGGTAGTGTCATTGGGAATCGGCTTTAGAGCAGAATACTGGGAAACAATCAACTGACCCGCTTCTTGCTATCATTTGATCATTCGGGATATTGGCGAGCGGGAGTAGTCAAATTATATTTTATTCACTATCAGTGACACTTCATAGTGACAAAAATATAATTTAATAAGGTTCATTCGTTCGTTGTGTCATGTCTAAAAATCAAATGGTTGTGTTCTCACTGATATTCGAAAATTTTACGCCGTGACCTACCTCTCTTTCTTATGCAGGATTCCAGAGCTCCTCATCACTACGCCGCTATGGCGAGTGACTCGAAGAAGGCCAAGAAAAACTACAACTACCTTATTCAGAAGGGAGCCAACGAGAACATCAAGGACAGTGTGAGTAATTTAGACACCTGCCGCTCCGAAAATCGTCCCTTTATGGAAATACCTGACCACGACTCAGTCTGTGGAGTCTCAGGGGTCTCAGTCGCAGGAGAGCAACTCTAAATGTTTTTCAAAGTAACATCAATGGCGCGCTGGGAAATAAGATCCATTTCCATTTACTAACTGTTTCTCGGTCTCCGTTTCAGCGGGGTAACGTGGCCAGCTACTACCTGACCAACCCGTCCGACGAGTCCCGACCACCCACTCCAGAGAAAGGCGCCAAGCTGGGCGCCGCGCCGCGCCCGTCGCGCTCCGACTCGCCGAAACAATCCCGACGCACCTCACGCGCCGCCGAATCTCCGAAACATTCCCGACGCACCTCGCGCGCCGCCGAATCTCCGCGTCGATCGCGACGAACCTCACACGCCGTAGATTCGCCGCGTCGAAGCCCGAGCCGCGGTGCCGACCGTGCCCCCTCGCGGAGCGGAGACAGAGACGACAGAGAGGGAGGACAGGACATGGATATGGACACGGTGGAGCGTCTACTGCTGACCGGCAGAACTGACGAATTGAAGGGAGCTCGAGCCACAGACCCGGAGGTGCAGGAGCTGCTGGATTCAGTACCATTCATAATGGTGAGTCGTGCTGACAGGTCGTGTCGCCTGAGTCGTTGTCTGCATTAGTTGTCATGCAGCTGAAAATAGCATAGGCAAATTTGTTCAATAAGTTTACACCATAATCATAGGTTGATACCGTTTGAATGATAATTAGTTATACATTTCTTATGGAATGCACACCAAAAATTAAGCACGTTTTTTTTAGTGAAGTGTGAACATAGTATAGTTTTAAAGGCATGAACGTTGAACATCATCGTATCATCATCCACTAGCCCCAGTTCCCCAAGCGGTGCATGACGGGCCAACTTGTGTTTCCCACAGGAGAAGATAGAGAGCGCCCACCGCGCTGCGGAGGAGGGGGAGTTCAGAGACGTTCAGGCCCAGCTGGATAGGAGGAAGCTGGCAGGGTCGACCCTCAAGGACGGGGCCAACCCTCTCCACAGGGCAGCCTTCATGGGCAACACTGGTCAGTGGGGCCATGGGAGGGTGCGCCGGGTGCATGTCACGTTTTGTGTTTAGGCAAAACAGTAAGCAAATTGAAAGCCGCTCATTGTTTACATTGGTTTACATTTTGATTTAAATTGTGGACGAGTCTAAAGTTTTTTCGTTTGTGATGATTCTGTCGATGTTATGATCTTCTGTAGTGGACAAGATCATGACACCGTTTTTTTCTTTATTTTTTTAACAACTAAAATCGGGAGGTGTACGTTTCGAAAGCCTAAAATCTTACACCATGAAAAAGACGTACCTACCCATAAGATTGCCTTTTTGTTGTTTATTATACGGCTCGATTGAACAAGCCCTTCGCTATCAAGTAGCAGCCTATATGCATATTTAAAATGGCTATCCTAACTTCGCTACGAGTGGTGCTGGTCTTAGCGTTCTCTCAGCATTTAGAACGTGATTTTAACTACCAGCATATTCAGCTATCAGGTAACTAGGATTTTATTTTCATTTGTCTTATTTTTACTGTTTATGTATTTCTTGCATGCTATGTACCCATACCTCACCTAAATGTTGAGTAATGACTGCTGTAACCGGCTGCAGGTATCCGTTGAATAAATTTGCTCACTTACATACAAGCATGGGTACAGTATGTATAATTATGCATTTTATGCAACAAATGCTTCGTATACAGTAATTGAAGAGTACCTTCACATAAAACACCATTGCCAAGCTTTCTTGGAGCGCCATTCTGCCCCAACTTCAATAATAACTTTACGAGAAATCTCTCCGAGTTTTTCTGACGCTATCGGTCAGAAGTGCACCTAGGAAAGAAATTTCCGAACGTTGTTGTGATTCCACCTCTGACGCTCCCTGTGTTTGTCTTTTGGCTTGTGCAAGCGTTTCTTTATTTGTTTGATTATCTCTTTATTTTATGGGATTTCAGGAACTCGTTAACACCAGCTTTAAGACTTCACTTCATTCCCATTTTCTCAGACGTGGTGCGGTACTTGGTGCAGAACTTCCCCGACACGATGGATGCCCAGGACAGGAACGGACGCACTCCGCTGCACTACGCCGCCGGCAGCCGCGACGGGGAGCATGTCTACAAACTGCTGCAGAAGGCCGGCGCCAGGGACGACATCAAGGATAAGGCAAGCAACAATCAACACGGATAGTGTTTTTGGTAAAATCATGTTGATCTTCAACGTGCTTCACCATCGAGTCCTTTGAAGTACACATGAATGCGAATCCTTACTTCAAATAAGTCTAACTGAGTCAAACGGAACTGATTCAAGCTGCGTCTTGAGTTACCCTGTCCTGACCTCACCGTGCCGTTTCCCAGCGCGGTCGGGAGCCTCAGTATTACGCCGACCACCGCGGATCCCTGCGCTACACCACTGTCAGTCAGCAGTCGGATAGCTATGACGACTCAGAGGACGAGCATGACGGTGAGTCCTTCATGAACACACTCCCATGCATGCTTGTAATGCGCGCCTATTCACTAACGGGAAAAGCTGCTCACGTTCAATGTCGGGAGCCAGTCAACACCAGCTGCTTTTATATTCGCTGTCATGTTGGGCTATGTCGTGTTGTAAAGGGAAATGTCTGCAGCGACGGTTGAGTGTTGGAAAATATTTAAATGTTTCCACTTTTACATATGTGCTGTCTGTTTTATCTGTTCACTGAATGCTCTCATTGCCAATTCGGCAAAGCTTCAGCTATTAGATCACGTTTTCGTCGCATGTTTATCGTTACCTGTCCACACGTTTCTAATCAGAGCACATTTTCTTAAATAAACAGTTTAAGCAGTTTTACACCAACCACGCTTCATGTCAAGTAGTTCACAACCGAAAAAGTTAATGCGCTGGTTAATGGCCAGCACCAACAAATTAAGAAATGTTCACCCATCACAGGGGGCCAGCCGTTTTGAACGAGCCTCCAAGATTCAAGTCCATTTATATTGTAAGTAGTACTTCATAGCACCATAAACTCACAAGCGTGTCCAAGTTTACGCACATGTACATATTTGACAAACCTTTAAAAAAATAACGTTTTTATTGCATCTTCTCCTCTTGCAAATGAAATGGTTGTTCATTTGGGCTCCAAACTTTAACAGTATTGGTCGATACATTTCGGTCAAAGGCAACGAAGCCTATTATTTTTAGCTTCAGGAGCATTCTAAAGGACATTTGCATTAAAAACCGTTTTTTTTTAAGCCTGTAAGACCTCAATGTAAAATGGCGGCGCTATCTGCGAAATACCGCAGGGGGTGGATGTCCAAACACCTCTCCCCCGGGCCCGGCGTGAGTTGATATAGGTATTTTGTTGTCTTGTTGTTTACTGCCGGTCCTCCAAAAATAGGAGCTACCTGTAAACTAAATGGATTATGAAACGGCTTTTGTCTTTTGATGGATTACACAAGGTGTAATAGAAAGTTCACTTTCATTGACTGTCATTATTTAGAGACATACATAAAAAATCCTCAGATTCCAAACACCCAGTTATTATGCAAGACCTTGCTAAAGTAAGACTGAAGTGCGATGACATACTTGGGGCTCTGTTGTGATTAAAATCATCGCAAAAGTGTGCGTAAAAAATGGTGGGACAAGTTCCGCATGCCTAATGCTGCAGCAACACGTTTGAAACAAAACACATTTTAGATAGCCTTACTTCGCCCAATAAACGTCCAACCCTGGCTTCATTCAAACATTGCTCAAACATCAAACAGCCAGCGCATCTACCTTCAACTGAGCCTTCGTCCAGACGGCTGACCCGAGGCCCTTTTCAGCGGGGGCGAATCGACGCGACTCTCACGCAGATCGCCGCTCCAGCGCTGACGGACGCAGCTCGCGCGTCGACCGCCGCCTCAGCGTGGACGACCGCGGCTCGCGCAGCGCGAGTCGCGTGTCGGCCTCCGGAGCTGAAGTCGAGTTCACTGAGGATGCCTCGGACGCCGAGGTGCGCGAGATCGAGACCGCCTTCGAGAAACTGCAGCGCTCGAACGCCACCTCGCTGCTGCGCAAGCACCTGACGCCGGAGGTGCTCGAGCAGGTGAAGCGGCGTCGCACGCGCCACGGCGCCACTCTGATGGATGTGATTCGCTCCGGTGTGGAGAACCTGGACTCGGGTGTGGGAGTGTACGCGCCAGATGGTGACGCGTACACGGTATTCGCGCCGCTGTTTGATCCGATCATCGAGGAGTACCACGCCGGTTTCGGACCCAACGACCGCCAACCGCCGGTGACGTTCGGCCATCCGAAGCAGCTGACCAAAGTGCTCGGTAACCTGTCGCGACTGGGCAAGTACGTCATCAGCACACGTATTCGGACGGCGCGCAGCTTGGAGGAGTACCCACTGAACCCACTGATGACCGAGACGGACTACATCGACATGGAGAGGGAGGTGGTCAAGGTGCTGCAGGATCTGACCGGCGACCTGGCCGGAACCTACTACCCCCTGGACGGCATGAGCAGCAAGGACAAGAAGCAGCTCATCGAGGACCATTTCCTCTTCAAGGAGGGTGACCGGTTCCTGCAGGCTGCCAACGCGTCACGGCACTGGCCAAAGGGTCGCGGCATCTTCCACAACGCCGCCAAGACATTCCTGGTCTGGGTGAGCGAGGAGGACCACCTGCGCATCATCAGCATGGAGCAGGGCGGCAACGTCACCAGCGTGTACGCGCGACTCGTCACCGCGCTCGTCAACCTCGGCAAACACCTGAAGCTGCGCCGGGACCGCCGTCTGGGCTCGGTCACCTTCTGTCCGACCAACCTCGGCACAGCGATCCGCGCCTCGGTGCACGTGCGCCTGCCGCGACTAGGCCGCGACCGCGCTCGTCTGGAGAAGGAGTGCGCGCGCCTGGGTCTGCAGGTGCGCGGCACTCACGGAGAGCACTCGGAGAGCAGTGAGGGGGTGTTTGACCTGAGCAACAAGCGACGACTGGGTCTGACCGAGATCGACGCTGTGACGGAGATGTACCAGGGCGTGTCGGAGATTATTCAGATGGAGAAGGACGCCAAAAAGTGAGTGCGGTGGTCGCGAGAGACACGGGCAGAAGAGGTGATTGATAGACAGGGAAGCATCAGGATGTAGTGTGTACGTGCGTTTATGAGTGTGCATTCTAAGAGATGGTTGGGCTCGAGAGACCGTGTCTTTTCTTTTGTGAGATTTGTCGACCTGTCGACCTTTGTGTTTGTGTTTCGTCTTGTGACGGTTTCAGAAGAGAATAAAGTAGCGGTATGAGAGATCGGTAACCATGCACTTGTTCCTGTGTGAAAAGGTGATTACTGTTGTCTAATAACGTTCGAAAGTGGCGGTAGAGTGGCGATTATGAACAACAATAATTATCAGCTCTCAAGTCGAAGAGCAAGTGACCGAGAAGTTGTTTTCATTGATCTGCAACGGCAATGAAAACGTAGCTTTAACGTCGATATAATTTTAATGAGTTCGGTTATATGTAGAATACAACTTGATACCGTCTGCTCAGACTAATAGTTATGAATCGGAAGAAGCGAGACGGATCTCCGAATGGTTATTTGTGTCTGCCGATTTGCTGAGAAAATGTGGGCTTGAGAGCAAAGTGCAATGCCTATTTAGACGCTCTGTACGTTGCATTGTATGCTGATGTGGCATGTGGATTTGGCTGTCATACCGAATGGGACTACATGGTCGTATTGTCCAGCCGTTGTGATGTTTGCTTGATACTATAGCTAGATCCCTAAACGCATTGAACTATGCAAAACTAAAACACTCTATCATATCATTAAGTTAGCGTCATCCTCTATCGTAGTCAAGCTCATTGTCTTGCTTCTTGGAAAGCTCTACGCAGAGGATGCGGTGCTTCTGTCAATAGTTACAATGTAAAAATGTAGTCTGGAAGGCGAGCAACCGATTGAATATAATGTATGCGCCCTGTTAGAAGTGCAAGCCTGTCGCTAGCTTCGTTTGTATGCAAGGTATCTTTTGGTTTCCAATTCAAATGTAACGGTATAGCCTCGCAGCAATAACACAAACAAAATACTTCGAAAGATAAAACCCCCTCCTGTTCATAGTACGTAGTGTATTTCACGTCATACTTATGACTATTAGCTTGACGTACAGTTTGTCATAGTGGTTGTGAAATGTGAATGTGTAGCAATAAAATAGTTGTGGTCTTCAATAAACGAACAAGGGCAAAACTTTTTACTACTAAGACGAGGAAGTGCTTGTGTGTAAGCGCAGAGTTTGTTCAAGCGGACGCTTCCCATCTCCTACGAATGCCGTAATGTTCAAGTCGTTCCTGTTCAAGCATCGTGTTCAGGTCAGTTGAGTGAAGAGAGGCACCGTGTGCTATGCAGTGGCCACAAGCACTTTACACTGAAATTTGTCAAATGTTGTAGTTTTAGCCGCAGCTTGACGTTGTTCGATTTTTACCTGAAGTTGAAATGGCATCGTTAGATTTTTACCGTCAAAAGTACGGATTACCATTTTTATTTTTGTATAGCAGCTTCAGTGTGATGTATTTCCCCAGCATGATTGATTGGCAAATGCCTGACGAGGGTCTACACGTTAAACGGACCTAAGCATGGGTTGAATTCAGCTTGAAACATAAACAATTACGTAATCGGATGAACATACCGCATTATATAATTCTTATGCCAAATTCATGATAATAAATACAACATGAACGTAAAGCTGCTAACGAGGGTGCGAGAACCAAATAGGGATTCCTAATTGATGAAGAATAGAACTTAGCTATTAAAGTATGCAAATGAACCGGATATTATCAATTGCAACGTTGTGCAATTTGCATACCTACTGCTTATTTACTAAACAATGAGGTATGTACGCATTGCACAAGACGAACAATGACCATCAGCCTCATTTGTCGTTTGGAGATGGCAGTACATTCAGCTGAATGCTTATGAAGTACTTTTGAAATGCACACAACATGAACTTATCGTCTCCATAAATGCATGATTTTATTTCGAATGCCTGGCTTTATGCAAGCTTTATGCTTGAACCACATGTGCTCCATTTTTAACAACGCTTGCTAGCAAGCACTTTGGTGCTTGCTGAGAGCCTCAAACACGCGTGCGCTTAGCAAGTCATGTCAATCAGCAACACGGCATCTTCTTGCTGCTGACACTGCTGGACTCTAGGATGTACATTGTACATAGGTGTGTAGGAGCTTTCACTGATATGCACTCTGTAACCTGCTAGCATGTATAATATAGTAATGCATCATGGAACACGTAGTTCGCGCTTGCCAAAACAGTTATTGTGCTGCTTTTTTATTTTTGCTCGTTCTTCGACTGTTGCCGGCAATCACATTGTCTTGGTATTTATGTTCTACCTTAATGTTTAATGAAGCTGCAGTTACACTCTTTCTTCAAAACGCTTAGAAATAATCTCGACGGTTTATCATCATCCACATAAGCCTGTCACAATAAAAAGACCAAAATGCATCCAAGTTCAGAGACAAAATCGAGTGTGAATTTCATACTCGGTGGTACGGACTGCTAATAGCTTCGAATGGTCAGGTGCGCTACCGGTCTCAGTGGAGAAGATAGCCGCTCCGACAACTGGAAGAGACAGCAATCACTTCCGCGGAGACCTGAGCTCTGCAAATGGACAATATCTCATGAAAGGTGAGGTAAAACCGATAATGATCTTATGCAAGGTATTTTATTATTTGCAAATGTTGGTTTTCTTTTTTCATTGAAAATATATTGGGCAAGTGACAGACTGATGAAGCCGATCAATATTACCATCTCATTCATGTAGCATCTCATTAGAATTTACGAATTTACGCATTTTAACGTCATCTGTAATATATTTCATTCACTATTACCCATCGAAGACAAGCGAAACAAAACCTCATCTAACTCACCCCAACGCATATGTATAGCTTCTATTATGTATGTTTAGTATATCCACAAATCACCTACCCTGTGAAATCCTTAAATCGTAATGTCAAACTTCTAACTATATAGAAATACAACAATTAGCACTGAACGCAATAAGCACACTGAGCACACCTCAATCTGCTCCTCTTTATCCCGGCAGAGCTGGCGGGCCCTCTGAGCGAGGCGCTAACCGCGGTGGCCAAAGTGCGCCCAGAGGACCCGATAGCTCTCCTGGCGGCGGTCCTGTATCGCCGGGCTGCGGCCAGAGAGTACCGTGCGGCACGAGGGGAGAAGGGGGAAAGCGAGGTAGAGCGGATAAGGGACGTCTTCCATTCCGGACTAGTGGCAGAAGAGGCTGAGTTACAAGCGCTCACAGCGCCTGCGGAACACGAGGGTGCTGGTCAAGATGTGGAGGTGAAAACTTTACTGAGAAGGGTGAGTTGTCGGTGTTATGACGTATATCGCTGAATTTTTGCAATCACGATTTATGTATTTTTTCGACTTTTCATCTCAGTTTCTCGTGTCTTCTTTTCGGCGAAAAACCTTCAGCCAGTATTCAAATAGCAAACTCTGTTTCGGCTCAACCTTTCCGATATTGCCAAACTCGTGCCTAGAAGCGGAACTGCGCCGTTGCCACACCATGGCGAGCGATATTGACCGTCCCCTCCCCCTCCCCCTCCCCCCCCCTTCCCCAGGACGGCCGCGGCCGCTCGATCCTGCACTTTGCCGCCGAGCGGCCCCACCGAGGCCACGCCCTCTCTCGGCTTCTCGACCAATCAGGACTGAGTCTGGCCGACCGAGACGAGCGCTATGCCACCGCGAGGGATGCCGCGGCGGCTGCGGGACTCTCAGAAAATGTAGCGGCCATCGACGCTTGGGTGACATCTCTGGCTGCCAGAGGTGAGGGAGGACAAGATTCGAGGGAGGGTGGAGGCAGCGGCGAGCGAATTTTAGATGATGGGACTATCAGGATTGGTAAAAGATTCCAAGAGGAGGCAAAACAGGAAGTGTTGTAAAGTGATGAACTTAGTTGCATGCCCAATCCCATCCCAATCCCTGTAAAGCATTAATTTAAAACTAATCCCGAAACTAGATAGAATGTCTGGGCTTTTCCGATATATCAAATTTCAAACCCGACCCGAACATTGCGCACATTTCATTGTCCTGAAGACTTTCTTGTTCACCTAACAGGAGACACGGAGCGGCTAGGACAGCTACTGTTGGACGGGTATGACCACATCCTTGATGCGGAGGACAGCCGTCATCGGAACATTGTACACGTGGCAGAACAGAACGCCAGTCAGGACACTGCCGGCTTCCTGCGCAGCTTCTACGGATTCGAGGTGCGGTAGGGTACTTTGGGATGTAGTAGTGGGTGGGTTGAAGTAAAAAATAGACACTGCATTTAGACACTGTACGATGAGATCGAGATGTAATCAAGGAAAGTCTAGGTCCGTCACTGGAAAGTCGTACGCATATTGATCGGTATAGTTTTTTTTTTGTCAAAACGAATGGCCATGGCGATTAACCAATTCTGCATTTAGGTCGAGGTTATATTGGCATTCTAAATACTTTAGCTAATCGAAATCCTCCAAATTGCCGATGCTGTCGAATATAGTGTTTGTGAATCGCATTACTTCACAGAAAACTTAAGACTTGAACGAGCAATACGATGCAACTTTCTTACTGTCTACAACGATGTCTAAAACAATTCAATCCAAGGCAAGGTCAAGCCTCATCACAAGCTCTCGATGTTACAAACCAAAGCCCTTCAGCACCCACCTACATACACCAGGCCCGTTTCACTCACCCTTCCCTTCCGCGCCGCTGCCGTCTCTCTCCCGCAGGAGAAGCGCGACTGGCTGTTCCGTGCCGTCCGTGCCGGCGCCACGGGCCACGTGCGGCGTCACCTAGACGAGCCTCGCCTGGCAGAGGCCCGCGACGGTCACGGCAGAACGGCCCTGCACGCCGCGGTGCTCTGGCAGAGGGCGGATATTGTGCGGCTCATTGCCGATAAGTTCCCCAGCACCGTGCATCAGGGCGACAATGTGAGAGAGGAGAATGGAAATTATTCCAAAGAAAATTGAGGGCTGTCTTTTGGAGGGAGTCATTACAATGGGGAGGTAGTCTTTCGGGAGGCATCCCACTCTATTTTGAAGTCCTCTCGGAAGGCATCCTTGAGAGCACTAATCTCATTATGGCCTGCTGGTGCAGGTTATTCTACGTTGGGAAACGAGGCGAGCAACAGTCACAATGTTTCCGACTTCAGTGAATTTTACCTTACATCTATCTACTATAAGCGGTAGCTGCCGCTGTTAATAAATTACTTTCCCCCTCCATGAGAGACCCCATGTTCCCTTTCATTCTTTCGACAGCATCCGCTAATCAGTAATCAATTACTCAGCACAGTTACCTTTTGGCAGGCCTGATCCTCTAGCGGTCGAGATTTATTCTACATCCGCGGAAATTGCCGACAAATTCCTTTGTTCGCCCCGTAATCGCTTCATCCACTTGTTTTCCCCGTCACTAATAATCCGTCGTTCTCCCCAACACGTGTCATTCATCGTAAAGTCAATATCCTGTCATAACGTCGGCTGTTGGGTGTGAGACTCGACTGCTCCCCTCTCGATTTGAATACGTCCCCCTGTTGGTCGGATACTGCAGCTGCCTGTAGACAAGAGTGAAAGACAGAGGGCCAGAGAGAAAGGCAGAGGCAGAGCCGCCGGGGAGGGCAAAGGGAGGGAGAGAGGCAGAGCCGCTGGTGGTTCCCACGCCCTAGGTGTCTCGATCGGGGAAACATGGAGAGCTGCCGAATTTCGGGAGCGGGTCGGGTGTTTGACCGATCTGACGACTGACGGCTGGGCTTGACCGGCTCTATGTCTTGCGTTGTTGCAGCTGGAGAGAACTCCGATGCACTACGCCATGGGCATGACGGAGGTGGAGACGGTGGGGAGGATTCTGATCCAGGCTGGCGCCTCCCGCACAGTGAAAGATTTGGTAAGTAGCGTGTAAAATAACGTGCACAGAGTCTTGACAAAATCCAAGAGGAAGATGCGAATGATCAGTTTAAGCGAAAGTAGTTAAATTACCATTCAACACAGCAAAAATAAGAACAAGTATGTAAAGAGAAAAAGCATATGCTAGTCAAACCATGTCTATTATCCGGCCACGAATCTCAAAATGATTTATGCGTCCACAAGGCGTTAAAAATTATGACAATGAATGCTTCGTGTGCACGAAAAAATCTACAAAATTGCATATGATGTAGTTGCTGTTACACGACATTCTTCTTTCCTCAGCGGGGAAACAGTCCCAGCTACTTCCTGATGCATCCCGAGGAGCTCCAGGGCCTCATCACGGAGGAAGTGACGGTGAACGCGGCGTAAAGCTCGCCGCTGCCTCCTCCGGCCCAACAGTGGCGCAGCGAAATGCAGCAATATCCCGTGGCCAATCACGCCGGATAGATGGAGACAGAGAGAGAGAGGGAGAGAGAGAGAGAGCGAGAGGGAGAGAGAGGGAGAGAGACAGAGACAGAGACAGAGACAGAGAGAAAGAGAGAGAGAGAGAGAGAGAGAGAGAGAGAGGGAGAGAGAGAGGGAGAGGGGAGAGAGAGAGAGAGAGACAGACAGACAGACAGACAGACAGACAGACAGACAGACAGACAGACAGACAGACAGACAGACAGACAGACAGACAGACAGACAGACAGACAGACAGATAGACAGACAGAGGAATAGAAGAGAGAGAGAGAGAGAGAGAGAGAGAGAGAGAGAGAGAGAGAGAGAGAGAGAGAGAGAGAGAGAGAGAGAGAGAGAGAGAGAGAGAGAGAGAGAGAGAGAGAGAGAGAGAGACCAGCGATAGTGCAGTGGTGGAAATGCACTGATTGTTGGCGTTGATGGTGATTGATATTAAATACCAATCTTGTATTGTATTGTATTGTATTGGCCGCTACCGAAACAGCGACGGTATGACGATCACGAAGCTGAAAGGATGCCTAGTCATGTGCGGTATAAGATGCAAATGGTTTTGTGGCACTGTGTAGTTTTATTTTAGTTTCGTAGCAACGCCCCGGGGTGACCATGGTATAGTTTTGTGTAAACGTGACCTTTTCTTACCTATCCACTGTGACCTGACCCGGTAAGAGTGACGTCACACAAAACACATAGCTTAAAATTAACCTTCGCCGGCCAAGGGAAAGGGGATTTCATCCCCTCCCTCCTCCAGAAAATAATTTATTGCAATTGCTCACAGCGCGTTGATAGCAGAGACGAAAGTTGGCACACTTGACCTTTGATTCAAACCAAACCTTTTGAGTTCAACCGCATTATACGGTCAGGTCTGATCACTGGCAGTGGCCTGTGACATCATAAGTGTATTTCTGCACGATCCTAAGAGAAAAACTTACTCCAACTGCTCAGAGCTGGATAGTCGTTTGTTTTGTTCTCCATATACCCATGTATTCCTGTAAATGCATGGTATGCAACACTTAATTCTGCTGAATATTCTTAGCGTAAACGGAGGCTCAATAAAACGTTCAAAATATTCAGCATAATTTGCATAACAATAACTAAGAGGCAGGCGACATAAAACACCACGCCACGGGCCACGTAGATACACACAATCCATTAGTATCCTTATCCTGCTGCTTACGTATAGAGAGCGACACAGCGTCGAAGGGTGAACACGTTCATGGAAGACGTTGGAAGACATTGTACAGTTGCTCTACCATCTGCAACACATTCACTTGGTATGTCACGTCCAGCAATTTCCACTGACGTTTAGGGTCGATTTGAAGATCTTACCTAAAATTAAAACGGACATTAGTATCCGCCGAGGAGAGATTACCAGACTAGTCAGTGTCGTACGCAACACACATTTCATTAAACACACATCAATAAGCAAAAATCAAGCCTCTGAGAACTTACGCGAGCATTACACAAAGACTAACAGCCATATAGTGTATAAGTGTATGGCGGTGACCAAAGATTCCCTCAAAGATCACCGTTCTCCGCTAAAGTGCTGCTCAGATGGAGCGCAGCTGACTGAAGGGCACGCCGGGTGGGCAGGGGTAGCAGGGGGCGGCCAGCGGCCGGCAGCCCAGGTGTTGGTCACTGCCCTCCTGAGGTCCGCTCAGCAGCTCGGCCATGAAGGCGATGTATGTGATGGCCAGTCGCAGCGTCTCGATTCGCGAGAGTCGCTTCTCGTACGCAAACGTCGGCACCTGAAAACAACGCTCGGTGCTTTGATACAGGATAATTAGTGACTTATGAGGCGTGCTATGACTCGTGAGGCGTATGTTAGACGGATGTAAGTTTATAAACAACAACTTACACTGGCCTGTCTTTTCAAATCGCTGCCCTATCTTGTGTCTATTCTGTGACGATACGACTCTATGGGCTATGCTGTGACTGTGTGTTGACTGTTGTTCTTTACCTGGATGAGATAATACCTACTGTTTAAAGTTATTCCTCTAGTCGAGATAAATATAGTTTTAGATTATGGATAGCAATAAAATGAATCGTCACCACCATCGCGTTTTTTCTTCTAAACCAGGCAAAACTACAATGGCAACGAAAGTGAAATCGACGATCAGAAAACTTAACGCCATCCATTTCTTTGAAATCGCATAGCAGTAACATCGATATATAGATTAGTGGTGATTCACGGCTTAAACAAGCGCCTAAAACACATACGCTCAGTGTTCAGTTTGTTTCTTCATTCTCAGACAAACTTTCAGACCTACACGATCACTCGCAGGCCGATCAGCTGCACCAATCTGCTCACCTTTCTCCTCAGCCTGTCGAAGGCCTCGTTGAGGCTGAGCATGCGGCGCCGCTCCCGGATGTTAGCGGCCCTCCTCTGTGCCATCGACGCCACCCGTCGACGCAGCTTCTTGGCGGGCTGCGGCTGCAGCGGGCCCGAGCGTGGCACACCACTGCGCGGACAGAGCCAATCAGAGGGTTACTTCATATAGCCTTGGTTACTTTACACCGGCTACTGAGAGCCATAGAAAGCTGAAGCTATACCCATCTTCTGTGAAAGGCTTGGAGAGAACAGAGGTCGGAAACTCGTGTCCAGCCAGGGGGAACAAATAGGCTAATGGATCATTAATTATCATCCCCTTGGTCCTGGTATCCTGGAGCTGTGAAGTCTGTGAAGCTTATAGAAATTAGATGTGTTAAGTGACTACGGCTACCCCTTGTACTCATGGACGCGGGAACCGTGGGGGCAATGGGGGCAAGCTGCCCCCACAACTTGCAGGCTGTGGGGGCGACGCCCCCACAACTTGAAGGCGTGGTGGCGACGCCACCCCCACAACTTATCTGGATATTTTCGCTAAGTATTTTGTTAAGTTTAAGCTTTAAAATGTAATTTTGGTACTTTTCAAAATGAAGTAACCCAAATGCGAAAATAAAAATGGGGTAGTTTGGTTTTGGGGACCCAAGTTGCTCCTCTACGGTTGGATAAAATGGAATGAAGGCAAAAATATGTGAGCCGACGAAATTTACTTAGCGTAAAAAATCATATTTGGTAGCTCTGATATCCCGCGCCGGGCCGGGAGGGGTGTTTTAACACCTCCCTGCGGCTTTTCGCAGATATCTCAAAAAATGGCGGTGCGGAGCGCCGCTCTTTTTGGCACACCTGTTTGTGCATTTTTTTTTCGCACAGGTTGTGAAAATTTCAGACCCAGGTCGCTCAAGGTCGGGTCACCAGGTCACGCCAAGTGATCTCATCTAAGAAAAGATAAGAATGTTCGTCATAGCTACACCGACTGAACGATTGCTTTGAAACTTTCAGCGATTGATAAGAGTAACTGTATCTATAAAACGTATATCTCGGAATTTTGATATTGGTGACCTAAGGTCAGGTCAATTTTGCGGCCTCTATATTAGCCGTTTTCACGACGGCCATCTGGTAGGTACACATTTGGTGCACATCTGGTACAGGTTTGGTGCCGATCTGGTCAAATCAGGTTCAGTGTGTCTGTTAGCAGCTATCAGCCAGGGTTGCACTAATTGCTTATATGCCTGCTTTGTCATATTATCAGACAGCATCATCGATTAAAACACTGAAACAAATTCATAAAATGAAGATATTTGCTGTAAAAGAAAGTAGGTGCAAATTTGGTCAAATCAGGTGCATTCGCCGGATAGCCCGTCGTGAAAACGGCTATTATAAGTCAATGGGAGAAAAATGAAAGGCGTCTGTTTTGCACGAACGCCATCCTAGACACTCTCAAACATGGGGATGCAGGTAAAATTGACACACTGAACCGGAAAATGGCAGCTGTGACCCCACGTTATATCCCGGAGGTCATCTCAGGTCACGACTAGCATCTAACAGTTTTTCACCAATTTCTCAACCTATAGACGAGCGAACAGTTTTTCGCTCGACGCTGCGGATCGACTGATATGCAACATGACCTTTTCCGGTCATGTCATGACCTTGACCTGAGGTCAGATTTTCAAATTGACCTTTCAAGGTAAAATAATAGTTCATTCGACGCGTCTTGACGAGAATAACATGATGCTGGCAAAAGAAATGTCGTGGCTCTTTTAAGTCAAAAGTTATTACAAAAAAAAAACACTTTTCGTAAAAACGGTTGTTTTTGGAGTTTTGGAGGCGAAACCGTTGACCTGAGGTGAAATCTGAGGGCATGTCAGCGAAAAAGCGTTAAAAGACCTATCGAATGCGCTTTTCCGTGGTGCTGTAGCTCTATCGCTTCCCGAGTTAGCCATGGGCAGTTTCCAAAATGTTGAAATAGCCAACATTTTACCTTTGGTGACCTCTGGTGACCTGACCTTTTACCTGGCCCAAAAAATGACCGATATGTTTTCGTACTTATTTTGGACGTTCTTTCGAATGCCGCTTACCGCGTGTCGCTACGTGGCCCAGGAGCCGTGTTAGAAGGGGGGCGTGTTCAGACACCCCCGGCCCGGCCTGGCCCGGTTGTCGCGGAGCACCGATATATGCGGGATATGGTGGCATTCCTTTGATTTCCATTAAAGTGACCATCCTACCTAGTTTTGAGTTGAGATAGCCAAAATGGGGGTTCCTAGCTTGCAATTACCGATTTGGGCACTCACAACGAGAAATGTTTTAATTCGGAAATATTCAATTTCAAAGTCTGCAGTTTTCGAATTTTAAGGGGCTAATGCATTTGAATACCCCCTTCGACGGCGCAGAGGTGAAGTCCGCAGTAATTCTAATATTTTTTACGTTTTTTTTTTCAAATTTATTTGATTACGTTATTCGACATTTCGCGAAATGAAGTGGCCTAAATCCGAAGAGAAAATTTGATTTGGGGTGCCTTGGTTTTGTCACCGGAATCGGTCTCCGCCACAGCCATGGCCCTTGCCCCCACAACTTCAAACTAGCTCCCGTGTCCCTGCTTGTACTTAATTCTGACTCGCATATGGGCTCGGACTGCAAAGTGCAGATAAACCTCCCCCAGTTTTTTTCACGAATCATTCGCATAAAAACGGCAAATAACAACGCAATTTTGCATTGCTAGATGCTAGTAGTCAAAATAAGGAGCTCTAGCAGGTTTCGCCTTTTAACTTTTGGTTTATTCACCTGGAAAAGTCAACAAATGACCTGCGACCATCAAAACGAATAACCATCGGCGTCCTCTCGTCACGCGCTTTTCAGTATCCTTTTCATGTTTTCTTATTGTTTTTGAATCATGAATGTGCAGGAAATAGACATAAATAGACGTCATGTATCAGCGACCACACACTGCCACACTCTAGTAATCTTTGTGTCGAGTTTCGATGGCAAAGTCAGAACGTGAAAGTTGAGGTTATTTGGTGATCTCTATTGACCTCAGCAATGACTTGATCAATACATGATTTTCATAACTTTGAAAGATTTTACAGTGAGCTAAGTATTACTATTTTTGGGTCTTTCTAGCTTTCTTAGTTTCCGAAATAGCCGGGTGTGGCCTCCCCCCCCCCCATCCCGACCTCATCCTGGCGAAGCTGGCTAAGACCCCCACCATGGTGCTGGTTAATGATGAATTACGTAGCTATTAATGGGTATGGTAATCATTTCAACCATTCCTACCTCAATGAAATAAGTCAGAAAATGTTCATTGTTCGTAGCATTCTTTTTGGAGTGTCCAGTCTGCATAGATAGTTTGACCCTATTCAAACAAACATAAACAGACAAAATGAAAGAAGTCATCTAGTAAATGCAAAATAAATGCAAAATTGTCACGAAAAAGTCCAGAATTTGACCATTTTTACATATCGGTGCATAAGTTGGAACAAATTTACGGCGCCGCAGGAAAGCGCTGTAGTAGTCGATCGCTCTTTCGATAGTCGATTGCTCTTTTTCAAGTTCTTTCTGTCTAATGGTCTAAGATTTGACCTAGGCTCGATGGTTCGTCCACAGAGTGCAAAAACTCTTAAAACTTCACATTTTTGTTAAACACGTTTTGCGCGATAACTTTTGATACCAAGCTTGTATTACGTTGATTTTAGCGGCATCACGTTTCTCTTGCTGAGACGCGTCGAATGAGCTATATGTTGACCTGAAAAGTTCAGCTTCAAAATTTGACCTCAGGTCAAGGTCAAGGACAGGTCATGCTCCATATCATTCGATTCGTATCGTTGAGCTGAACGCATCTAAGGAGTTTTTCTCGTCCTAGCATGTCTCTATTTCAAGTGTCTGTAAAAAATGTTTAAAACCCCTCATGACCTGAGATGACCTCAGGGGCAAAAAGAGGCGTTATGTAAAATGTGTGCAATTTTTCGCTTCAAAATGTTTTGCTCATAGTATTTTGTTTTCATTGTTCAGTGTTAACCTGTATCCTGATGTTTAAGGGTGCTAGCTAAGTTTGACTTTTGTCCAAAACAAGGGCAGTTTAATTTGCACAATTCAGTAAGTCGACTTCAAAATCCCAACAATGATCGGGGGGGGGGGCAAATTTTGGCAAAGAGGGGGCACCTGGATTTGAACCGGGGACCTCTCGATCTGCAGTCGAATGCTCTACCACTGAGCTATACCCCCACAACTGCATAATAATCTCATCACGGTTGTGTACGACGTATGAGCCTGTATGGCGCGCAGGGAACCGGTTCGCCAGCGCGTGACCTCGGCCGCCAGCTGCGGCTTTCGCAGGCCCGTCAGGCGCGTCAGCTGTCATTGACCGGGCGGCAGCCGACAGCGCTGAATCGCCGTCGGTAGTTGGCCTTGAACTGCACTCATTCCGTCATAACATAAATTGTTATGTGAAATGTCACAGAACCCACAGACGAATGAATACGTGCAGCTACTTATTCCCCATTCCCAAACATATGTTTATGCTCCGCAGCATATGTATCATCATTAGTGTTGGTCGTCAAATAATGGATCTATGATCTATATGAATGAGAATACTATACCTACATTATTTCTTTTTGTCACTGGGATCGAGGGCGGGGCCACCCCTGGTCAACTGTTAGGCACTGGATGGCGACATATTTCTTAGAATAGATTTGCACAAAGAATTGTGGGTCGGAAGCTACGATCCAATGGATGTTCAATACAATAGCGCCATGAGGTTATGGCACACCACCTCTTACTTTCAATTGACACGCAATCTCGAGCTTTACTGAGTTTGCACGACTGTGGTAGATCAGACTGATGCATCGAAACACATAAAGCTGGTTAGGTCCCGCCGAGATTTGAACTCGGATCGCAGGATTCAAAGTCCTGAGTGCTAACCATTACACCACGGGACCGACGAGCGTAGTCGCTCCATTCTGCGCATATTGCTTTTACTGATGCTTTTGATTGTTGATTCTTATTCTGATGACGTTGCAATATTGAAATACATTAGTTAAGTTTTGATTAGGTATATCAATTTTTGCAACATATAACATGATTATAAGGTTGTTAATTTTATGAACTTTACTGTTACTCATTGATTTACAATTTTATCAGTAGGTGAAAAGCTGGGGGCAGTGAAAAATCGTGTGAATCGAGAAACATTAACGACCACGAATGCTTACTCGATACGCATGACGACAAAGGCTCCGATATTGCTGTGAACGACCTCGTCACGATCCTAATAGACACCGAAACCCCTTCTCTGATGATAGAGACGGAGCAGTTTCCTAGGTCGACAGACCTTCTGAAAAAGTATCGCGAGCTCTATCAGGAAATGCGGGCACAGTTTATTGCCCAGGGCCTGGACCGTGACCCTATGTCTGACCCTGAACTAGCGAGATACCTGTCTCGTGGGGGCAAAGGGAGCAAGTAGGGAAATGGAGATGAAAGCGTTTTTTTTTCTTACTGCCTTGTGTACAACGCGTGACCTGCAGTAATACACATAACCCATTTCACTCGGAAACTAATAAAGCTACAGCGCCGCAGGAGAGCGCATTCGATAGCAATTTTATTTTTAATGCTTTTTTTTTGCCATCCTCTCAGATTGAACCTTAGATCAATGGTTGAGCCTCCAGAGGACAAAAACTCGAAAAAATAGCCGTTTTACGAAAAATGTTTTTCGGTACCAGCATTTGACGGAAGGAAGGTACGACATTTATTTTGCCAACATCGTGTTCCTCTCGTCGAATCGTGTCAAATGAACAATAATTTTACCATTAAATGTCATTTTGAAAGTTTAACCTCAGGGTATATGTAGGTCACGACCTGACCGGAAAAGGTCATGCTGCATATCAGTCGATCAGTATCGTCGACCTGAACACACATTAACACGCGCCGGGCCGGGGGTGTTTAAACACCCCCCTGCGGTTTTTAGCACACCTGTTTGTACATCTTTTCCGCACATGTTGTGAAAATTTCAGACCCAGGTCGCCTTAGGTCAGGTCACCAGGTCACGCCAAGTGATCTCACCTCAGAAAAAAATAAGAATGCTCGTCATAGCTACACCGACTGATCGATTGCCTTGAAACTTTCAGCGATTGATTATAGCAACATTATCTATAAAATGTACACCTCGGAATTTTGATATCGGTGACCTAAGGTCAGGTCAATTCTGCGGCCTCTCCATTATAAGTCAATGGGAGAAAATTGAAAAGCGTCTGTTTTGCACGAACGCTATTCTAGACACTCTCAAACATCGAGATTCGAGAGGTAGAATGTAAAATTGACACAATGAACCAGAAAATGGCAACTGTGACCTCTCGTTATGTCCCCGAGGTCATCTCAGGTCACGAACAGAATCTAACAGTTTTTCGCTAATAACTTCTGATAGAGGCGTGCTAGAGCGCTGAAAACGCCTTAGATGTGTTCGGCTCGACGTTGCGGATCGACTGATATGCAACATGACCTTTTCCCGTCAGATCATGAACTTGACCTGAGGTCAAATTTTCAAGTTGACCTGTCAAGGTCAAGTTATAGTTCATTCGACGCGTCTTGACGAGAGGAACACGATGCTGGCAAAAGTAATGTCATGGCCTTTTTGAGTCAAAAGTTATTGCCGAAAAAAACGCTTTTCATAAAAACGGCTATTTTTGGGGGTTTTGCCCTCTGAAGGCTAAACCGTTGCCCTGAGGTAAAATCTAAAAACATTAATCAGAAAGGTCTGTAAAAGGGCTATCGAATGCGAATTTCCGCGGCGCTGTAGCTCTATCGGTTCCCGAGATAGCCGTCGGCAGTTTCCAAAATGTTGAAACAGTCAATATTTTACCATTGGTGACCTCTGGTGATCTGACCTTTGACCTGACCCAAAAAATCACTGAGGTGTTTTCGTCCTTATTTTGGACGTTCTTTCGATTGCCGCTTACCGCGTGTCGCTACGTGGCCCAGGAGCTGAGTTTGAAGGGGGTGTTCAGTTCAGACACCCCCCGGCCCGGCGCGGAATCCCGGAGCACCGACCCGGTGCGGGTGAAGTGTTTTCAGCACCCTAGCTTGTTTCTATCAAAATTCAAAAGTTATTACAAAAAAAAAACGCTGCGGAGCTATCATGACCTGAGGTGAACTAAGGACATAGGAAGGGCGCCTTTCAATTTTCTTCCATCGACCTGCTATAACGAAGAGGCTGCAAATTGATCGGTCATAGGTCACCGATATCGAAATTCCGAGATATACGTTTTGTATATACTGCTACTCTTATCGATCGTTAAAAAGTTTCAATGCGATCGCTTAGTCGGCTTATTTATGACGAGCATTCAAACTTTTTCTGAGGTGAGGTCACATGACGTGACCTGCCGACCTGGTAACCTGACCTTGAGCAACGTGAGTCTAAAATTTCCGCAACATGTGCGGAAAGCGGAAAAGATGCGTGGACATGTGTGCCAAAAACGGTGACTCTCCAGTCTTCATACTGACGTTTTTTAGATAGCTGCGAATAGCTGCGATGGTTGAATGCTGATAAAGATAACTGTACTTCCAGCTCCCAACACTTCTCGAATAAACGAAAAGCTGGAAGTACGGTTATCTTTATCAGCATTTGGAAGTTTATTTAAGCGTTCTCATTCATCCATTGTGCGGTTATCGTAATTACCGTAATTACATGCCCTCTGCCATACCTCTGCCAATTGTAATGCGTTTTATCCCACTAAGAACTGAGCTGGAAGATTTTTGTCTCGGATTGTATGTGCAAGACAAAGTGGACGAGGCAAAATGGACAGCTCCCATTTGGTTATAAACTGTTCCCACTGGGACAGCAAACTATTGATATTAAAAGGTATGGCCATGCATTTATACTTGCCATTTTTCGGTTACGTTCGTTAAGCCAAAAAATGCAATTCTGTGTTTATCTATGCATGCCATTGCGTTGTTTAATTACAGGTGAAAAGATGACAAATTCAACGTCCACCCATGTTTAAACCTCTACCATCAAAAATTATATTCGCACATGAGGCATTATCCTGTTTCTCATGTCGGGGCAAAGAAGACGCCGGTGTCCGTTTTTCCCGGGGTTGGGGCAAGGTGAAAAAAATACAAAGGTTCAAAGTTTTGACAACATCTCCTACATGTGAACTTCTTTAGAAATGAAACGAAGTTGAAATGAAAAGCAATTTAATAGCGATCATAGTGACAAAGAAACGATCTTTCCAAATTTGAAAATTATGCGTCGGCATAGAAAAAAAGCGTTAGGGCGGCCGATTTGGACAGCTCCCAGTATTTTGTCTCCCTTAACAAAATACATAAGTCAAAAGTTTGTTTTTGAGGCAAAAAAAAAAACTTTTGTCTATTGCCACCACACCGAGCGGACATTTTAGACAATGATGAGCCAAATCGTAGGTGTGACGCCTTTCGCATTGCATCTGGCTGTTATCCTTTTCCGGCGGCTGATGATATGATCTGTGAGTTACTCCTAATATCGGCTTTGTCGAAAAGGAATATGTATATACCTACCACACAGTGAGCCGAGCCCTGTATATATGCTTTACATACATACCTACTAAGTGCAGACTTCCTTTAGTGGGGCACTTTTAACCCTCCCTTTTCAAGTGTCTGACAAATAGATGAAAATGGTCATGACGTGTCTTACATAAGCATAAGTTTTCCGATTTGAATTATGACCTAGCCTGAATTTGGTGAAATAAGCCTAGATCCCAACACCAAAATGGGCTGTTCCCATGACAAACTGATAAGCTGCTTTCATTTGTGATTGTGCTTACTTTTTGGAAAACACACGCATACGCACCACTTGTGTTTGATCACGCACATCCGTGCTGTCGCTGAATCATTCACGCAACAGTACTGGATCTGGGATCACACTGGCACTGTGTTGGATCTGTATCACAATGCTGGATCATACACGCACCTGTGTTGGATCATACACGACGCGGCGAGTCTCGGCTGGGCGCTCCACAGGTCGTGCAGTCCGATCAGGTCGGGCTGCTCCCAGCCGTATCCGCCGTAGAGACCGTACTCGGTGTTTGTGAGGTCCCACAGCTGGCCACAGTCGGCCGGATACGCCTGGATCCGGCCGTACACCATCGGCGGACCCATCGCCGTTAGGTCGGGTCAGGTCAGGTCAGGTCACACGTGCCGAGCGCCGTGGGTGGTACTGCAGAGTCGACAGACAGATCGCTGCTCGCGGACCGCCGGCTCAGCGGAGGCGGGCTCGGAGAGGACTGGAGGGTGCTGCGGCTGCGCAACCGTCCCTCCTCCCGGCGCGCCGCGCTCTCCGAGGGCTCTGTTTCGTGCGGAAAGCCGACATTTCCGCCAGATTTAATATCGACTTATTAAATGTTCATCAGAGCCGGCTGTGCCACTTTATTAGCTCCGGGGAGCGGGCGCCATATTGCTCGCCGAGTCGACAGGGGGCGGAGCGGCGCGTTTTGGCAGGGTGTAAAATTGGCGTGGCGAATCCCGTGGCGGAGAGGAAACGCGTCTTCTTTGTTTGGTGGTCATGCGTTTTAGTGTAATGGATATGGTAGTTATTGGGTGGAGGGGAGTATGGTAAACAGAGGTGGAATTAGACGCCAGCGAAAACTGGATGGCTCGGGAACTGGTTGGGACTGCTGAGGCCGTATTAGTTTTGGGATGATACATGAGATCGCTGCAAGACGGCCCCTAATCCCTATATAGGCTTATAGGAGCCTTGCCTTTTCAGTGTAAGTGTGGATGCGCACCTATCCGTTATAAAGCAAACAGTTTCTGATTTCTCAAAATTAATATAAGCACTTACATTTGCGCCGTATAATTATTCAATCGGTTGCCTGAAAGGATTCAACAACCATGACTCACACATTGGCAACTTAAGTTCGTTTGTTTTGGGTTTTAGGTCGCGTCGGCGGTAAGGTTCGTTGGGAACTTGGTGGAACCATTTTTTTGTACTCCCTGCACTTTGAAACGCAATGCACATTTTAAGTGATGGGTTTTGTGCGTCGAAAGCACGTGTTATAGCGATCTCACAAATAAATCAAACGATGCAGTTATGTTCCGATGCAGTTATCTTTCTGCGCCCTATCGCTCAACTCGCTCAACTGTGCACCGGCACTTGCACCAGCACAGCCAAACGACAAAATACCGGCACAACGATGTAGCAAGCCTAAAAAGCAGGGGTGGCATGTAGGATGGGAGTACACTAACACCGTAACTGTCGAACCGCATTCGTGAATTTCAGCTGACCGAAAAGGTATGCCTGAAAACGGATTTACTGAGCCTCGAACTCTCTTCATGACTGAAGTGATTAAATTAAGCCCAATTTTCTTATCCTAAATGGCTGTGCTCGCTGACTTCACTTCACAATTAGAGCTTACCAATAATATAATCCATCTTTTCCGAGATGTCCGACAATGTAGCTGAATCCGCCGGGGATACAGGTGGAGAAACTGATCCTAATGCAACAATCGCTCCACAGAAATCCACTGAAAATGCAGTTTCTTCAGAGAATGCAGGTGATACTGCAAAAACCGTGGCTGAGGAAACAGACCCAGCGACAACGGAAGCCGAATCAGATGAGCCAAAGAAGGAAACCATTGCATCTGGCCAGGAAGGAGATAATCTCGAAACGTCTATTGACGACAAACCAACAGAAAATGATGATCCAAACAAATCAGCAGAAACAAATCAGCAGGCGCCCACTGAGAGCGCCGGCGAGCATGCTGCTCCACCAGTTGAGAACACGGAACCAGCTGAAAACGTACAAACTTCTGAGGAACAGTCCATAATAGCAGAAGAAGCGGGCGCGACCGAATCGTTTTCAAACGACGATTCTTCGAAACACAAGCCCGTCCCAAGTAACGATGAAACGAAAGACGAGATCCCTCCGACCACAGAAGTTGCACTTCCAGAGACCGCAGACGCAAAGCCAGAAGAAGAAAACGTCATAAAAAGTGAGCAAAAGCAATCCGTCTCTGACCCTCACTATGTGCAAGATACAGCTAAAGAAAGCATAATAAATGCAGAAGATATAGGAGGTGTCTCGGATGCTCCAATGGAAGATTCTTCCATTCAAGATACCACTGACGTTCCAGATCAAGCCGATGAAAAGATTCAAGAACTGGAAGAACTCGTGAAGAAGGCCTCCGAGGGCTTGAGCCAAAAGAAGTCCAAGACCGAAAACGCGAGTCTGACAAAACGTATCTATGAAGACCAAATCAAAACGGGAAAGCTGAATCGTCTGACGAGCGTGGTAGAAGACGAAGACGGCACCAAGCGGCTCGTGAATCCTGGCTCGGTACCGCATTGGAATACCATCAGCATCAGCTTGGCTGGAAAGGCAAGTAGCTATAGAACAGCTCGGTAGTTGTTTATTTATTTTGACAGGTCATAGGAATCGTTATAGGATTAGTTAGAATTTAGAAGTTGATTTAATTTGAGTAGATATCATAAGTCGACACTTTTCCAATAAATCTAGGTAATTTGTAGAAGGTATGACGCTCTTACATGAACTCGTAACGTAACCTGTCGAATTCTGAAGTCAGAGCTTCTGAATTAAGTTATTTAGCCCTTAACCCTATTCCTGGCGGGCTCCGCCGGGACAAGAAACTGGCGGGGGGGGGGGGGGCCGATTCGGCCCCCCCCTGAGATCTCGAGAACGAAGCAAGATAGCGACAAACGGTTAAACGCATC